TGTTCCAATTGGGTACCTCCCCAGACACGGAACCGAAGACGCCGAGGAGTATCACTGCGAGGCCGAGCTCTGTGTCTGAGGTGAGGAAGAGAGTGACATCGTCCGCGTAATATGCCATGAGTCGGCGCTGGACGGGAGACAGAGCGAAGCCGGGTAGGAAGAGGGACATGTATCGGTGGAAGATCTCTATGACACAGACGAAAAGAAGAGGTGCCAGAGGACAACCCTGTCGGACGCCCGTACGGACAGGGAAGGTGGGGCCGAGCATGTTGTTGACGGAGATTCGTGTGTTCGTGTCGGAGTGCATTAGTCGTACCCAATGTATGAAGGGAGCTGGAATCCCTAGGACCGCTAAGGCTTGGAGGAGAAAGGGGCGGTCGACCAGGTCGTAGGCCTTTCGAAAGTCTACCGTAAGAGCGAGGAGAGGGGTTGATGAGAATGCTGCCCAGTCCATGATGTCAAGGGTGTCATTGATTGTGTCTCCAATTTTCCTGTGTTTGATGAAGGCGGTTTGGGACGGGTGGATGAGCTGGGGAAGAACGAGCTGGAGGCGGTTAGCAAGACACAGCGCGAGTATCTTGTAATCAGCGTTCATGAGGGTGATGGGGCGAAGATTTTCTACGAGCGAGGAGTCACCCCGTTTGGGGATGAGGACGGTGCGTCCGGTCAGCATAGACGGGGGTAAGCGAGAGAGAGGTTGTGGAGGGGAGAGCAGGGAATGGAAGACCGGTGCAAATCGCGGGGCGAATTGCCGAAAGAGTTCCCCGGGCAGACCGTCTGGGCCGGGGGTTTTTCCTCGGGACAGAGAGAGTAGTGCTTTTCCAATTTCAGCTAGGCAGAAGGGGGCGCCGAGGCGTAGGAGTAGGGGGTTCGGGATGGAGGAGGGAGGGATGTGTTGCCAGAAGGCCGAGTTTACGGTGGCGGGGTTGTTTCCGCTGTAAAGTGTCTGGAAGAAGTTGGAGCACAGGTTCGTCATGGTGGGGAGGTCCGACGTTGTTTATCCATTGGGTAAGGTCAGGGAGCTGATGATCGAGCCCTTGATTCGCGAGTTGAGGCCAGAGAGAAGGGAGGAGACTCCCATTTCCCTGTGCCCTTCCACTTTAAGCTTGGCCTTGAGCGCAATTTCGGAGGCTTTTGAGGCTTCATACCTGGCCAGGTGGAGTCTTGCTTGGTCAAGGCGGTTAAACTCGGCCTGGGTCAGGGGCGTATACGCAGCATGTCGTTGAAGTGAGCCGATGGTATATTCCAGATGTGCGACTCTGCAATCGACGCGGCGTCGTTCCAGGTTGGAGAAGCGTTTGAGGTTAAGGGTGAGATCGAGCTTCCATGAGTCTCAGGAGTCTGGGGAAGGATTGCTTGGGAAGATTGCGAGGCAGGAGTCGATGATTTGAGAGACATGAGGGCGCATAAGTAGATGCTGTCGGAGGCGCCAGGGGCGGGGGGCAACTGTGGGGTTGATGAAGCTGAGCGAGCAGAGAGGGGCATAGAGGTGGTCCGTGATTGCCGTGCGGGTCTGGATGTACGGACTTGCAGTGAGGCGGGGTATAAAAGCTCGAGAGATGTATATTCTGTCGAGTCGGGAGGAGGTGGGGGGTGTCGCAGTATTGAGACGTTGCCTCCCGAAGAAGGAGAAGACGTTGGTCGGCGTGGGGAAGAGTTCGCGGAAGGTGTCGATCAGGGCGTGGTTTTCCATGAGTTTGGCGAATGAGGCGCCCTCACGAGCCTCGAAGTCTTTGGGAGGGCGATTCCTATCGATGGGGAGGACGACCGAGTTGAAGTCTCCTGCTAGCATGGATGCGGAGGCGGCGGTGGGGGCTTCCAGTGCCGGGACGAGTGTGGTGGTCCACCATACTCTGCGTCCGTAGAATTGTGTGGGGGCGTAAATGGCGATGAGGCGGATTTGCTCACGCAGATAGTTGAGGTGTACAGTGATTAGTCTGCCGTCTGCGGAGGGGGCTGGAGAGGACAGTGAGATAGCCCTGTTGAAAGAGAGGATAGAGACACCGCCGATGAGCGTGGGCCTCCCTGTGGCGCTCTCGGTAGAGAGAAGTGCTGGGGCGTGAGCGGAGGAGTGAGGTCGAAGTTTTAGGTCGAGGTTGGGGATTCTGTGGATGAGCCGGGTGTCAATGAGGATGACCAAGTCAGCGGGTGCAGGAAGTCTCGCCAGCCAAGACTTGAGTTCATCCATTTTGCGTGTCTCGTTGATTCCGTTCACGTTGATGCATAGGATGCGGAGGTGTGTTAACATGGCGACGACGTGAAGGCCACCGCACGGGAGATCGTGCGTATCCACGGCCTAGGCACAAGTTGTCGCAGGTGAGTACAAGGGGTGAAGGTGAGGCCGGGGGCGTGCCAGGCTTGGTGGGGTTGGTGGCGCCGAGGCGACACTGGGTTGCATGTCTGCGTGTTAAGGAGGCGTACCGATAGGTACCTGAATTCAAAGAGATGTCGAAGCAATGCTTTGGAGTTTGGGGTGCGTGAAGTATATGTGCGTGCTGTTTTTTTCCGCAAGGCTGACATGAGGTGCGCTGATATATCTAAGTGCAGAAAAGTGATTGACTGGTGGACTACGGGGGGTTTGTATGTAGATCAGGTAATAAGAAAGTGTACGATCCTTTATCATTCTTACGACAAAGGTGTGCAATGACACGCTATCATTGTTATGCTCTTTTGTTAGTTTGCATTGACGGTAGTGTCCAATATAGTAACAGTAACCCTTTTTCCAGCTAAAGTTTGGACAGGTGTCGCAGCTGAGCGTATAGACCAAGACAAGACTTAGTAAACGATAGCAAGTGAAGCATTTGACCCATGGAAGCGGCTTGACACGATCTGATGCACAATATCGTGGGGCACGCAACCAAGGGGCAGCGAAAGCTGCAGGGGGTGCAGGCAGAGGGGGGTAGTTCTCTGACTGAGGCGGCATTGCTTGGAAGCACATATAGCAAAGGCTTCTGCCAGGCACACATAGGGAGAGGGGGGCCAGGAAGCACCACAAGTGGGGGTATATAAGAGGTGGAAGGTAGAGCGGCAAGGTAACAGGGGTGTCTGAAGGGCATTGTGAAGGCGCCTCAAAAGACAGAAAGGGCGGAGGGTAGAGCAGCGGGGTGTCAGGACCGCCTGAGGGCCCAGGGTGAAACCAGAGAAGCATAAGGGGGGAAGGGTGAACCAGGGGGATTGAGGGGCGGTGTAAGGACAGGGTGGAGCGGGGAGGGTAGGAGGTGCGACAGCCACGGTGAGCCACAACTAGGGGAGGAGGCCGACCTAGGGGAAGGGATAGGGGCGGCGTCGTATTGGCCAGGGGCACGAGCCTGGGAGGGGAAGAGGGGGGGGGGCATCTGGGGGAGTGGTTGTGAGTTACGTCAATAGCCGAGGCGTTTAGCGACATCAAAGACAGGGCAGGGAAGCTGGACAAACGAACAGGGGGGTAGGATAAGCTTGCAGGCACGAGAGGAAGGCCGAAATCAAGGGTTGCGAGGCGTCGGGGGTGGGGGAGGTCAGGCAGGCAGTTACAAGAGCCATGACCGGGGCGATCTAAGAGCGCTGACTGGGAGTCACGAGGCCAAATGCAAGCAGAGGAGAGAGCGAGGATGTGAACGCAAAGGCGTTGGCCACAGCGATTCAACAGAGTAGACTGGAAGCCTAATCGGCAGCCCGAGTCCGGAAACCAAGCATAAAAGCAGGGGTGGCGAGGCAAGGTGTGGAGCATCAAAGCGACAGAGAGAGCGACGTTGCGACAGCAGAGGAAAGGAATAGGAACACGAGGCATAATGTAACGGTGAGTTTTCAAACGACTGAGAGAGGCAGGAGGGTGTGCGGCAGCACTTACCTGAGAGTTAGCGTGGATGAGGTAGCGTAGAAAGGCTTCCGGTTGCCACCGCTGCCAAAAATAGAAGAAGACCGACGGTGAGATGTGAAAATAGCAGTATCGCGGTGTTTTTACACCCGTCTTGCGAAAAGATGGCTGGGAGGCGAAGCGCGAGCGTGGGTCCAGCCGTGCGCGATGGCAGACACGTCGGAGAAGGAGGAGGGGGAAAAATAGACGGGGGGGGGGGCACGGTTAAACGGAATCGACGGTGAAATTGTTGACATCGCTTAGAAGAGGAAGCCGGCAGGACGATGAAACCCGTGTGAGAGAGAGGGGGCGGAACGTTAAAAACCAGCGCGTGTGCAGGCTGCCGGGTTCCTGGCGGAGGCGGGGGGGTATCCGTTGGCGGCGGCGCGGGAGCCGTAGGGTGCGGCCAGCAGCGCTGGAAAGTCCCTAGGCGATAGCGTGGCGTAAAGAAAGCTCCTCGTTTGCTTCGCGAAAAAGGAAGGTCGAAACACAGACAGGCGAGCGGAATCGATCGGGTAGTTGAGCGGGAAAACCGGTGAGAGATAAAACATGGGAGGCGAGGGGCGAGGCTGGGCGGGAAAACGCGTATGATGTTAGGAAATGACTGGTTTTGATAAGGAAAAGTCGCGACCTGTTCCCTGCATGTCGGCGTGGAGTTATTAAGGGAGATCGAGGTGAAAAAGGTGAGCAGGGTGAGCAGCGGAAGCAGACCGAGGGAGAAAACCGACTTACCTGGCGCCGAAACGATGTCGAGTGACGGGAACCTGCCTAATCGGCGACGGTTTGACAGTCGTGCGGTGGGATATGCAGGTAAGCTGGAGCTGCTAGAGTCCGCAGTAGTTAGAAACCTAGGTGATAACCTAGGTAGCGACATAGTCGGGGGAAATGGGTGAGGGTGAGACGGAATGGTCATTTGCGAGCAGTTCAATGAGAAATGGTCTGGCTGGTCGAGTGCTAAATTAGTGTTACTGGTTGTCTTCATCAGGTAGGCACACCACACCACTGCAATTCCAATTCCTGTATAGTTGTTCCAACCCCTCCCATATTACTCCCCCATGCCCCAAGATGTATCTTCAGTCCATACTGCAAAGGTAGATTCCACCTGCAAAGGTCGATTCATGCATATGAACAATGTAGCACAACACAGTGTAACTTCAAGTCAGCACAATCATCTGCCTCTACCTGTACCCAACAGAAGCGAGTCTACTTGATCAGCCAACCCTGCCACATCAGCACTGCCACCCGGTCCTTCTCCACCACCACCACCCCTCACACCTGTGCTCCTCCCTGCCGCTGAATCCACACCTCTGCTCGCCTCACCGTGCCCCTGGGAACCTCCTTCCCCAGCAGCACCACTGCCCGCATGCGCCGCTGCAGACCTAGGATCGGCACGGCCGTCCGACCCTGCCAGTGGAGGCCCTGAACGCGCCTCTGCATGCCCCTGCCTCCCCGCCGCTACTTCTCCCTGCGCCTCAGGGGAAGTCGGTTCCGGCCCGTCCAGCGAGGGCAGTCTGGGCGGCACTCGGATCTCGAGCAATGATTGCACGGGCTGGCGGCAGATGGGGCACTTGTTGGTCTGGTACCGCAGCACCTTGGCGCAGTCCGCACACATGCACTGCCACGGGTATGGGTGGGTGGGGGTGGAGGCGGGGGATTTGGGAGAATGGTTGGGTGAGGGGGGGGGGGGGGGCGATAGGACAGGACACATCAACGGTTCAATGAAGATTTACAAGGTAGTGATCGAAGGCACAGAGAGTGCTGCATGCAGCGAGTACGTGGAACACAGCAGACGCAGTGGAGGGGTACCATGTGGCGGCAGGGCAGCACGGTGGTGTCTCTGGGCGCGGACATGCAGATCACACACTCCTTGCCCGCCACCTCGTCCTCCTCCTTCTCCTCCTCGCTCAATGCCGACCCCTCACCCCCCGCTCCCTCTCCCTCGCCCTTCTTGCTCCTGCCTTGGTTGGCCCGCCCGCACTGCTCGATGCCGTAGATCTCCTGCGCAGACGGACGACAACGGAATAACGCACAGCCAGCCCAGGCAGCAATGGAGGGAAGAGGAGTAGGTGGGGGGGAGAGGGGGGGAGGGGGAGGTGAGTGTGGTGGTGATGTACATACAAGGATGGGTGGTGGGTGAATGCAAGGACGGGAAATTGATGAGCAAAAGGTCGAGGGGAGTGGAGTCGTGCAACCATGAGAGAATTGGCCCCACCCGCGCACGCACCTGCACCTCGTAGCTGGTGCCGTCCACCCAGATCTTCTGCTTCACCGGCCGCACCACGAACAGCCCGGGCAGCTCCCCTGTGCCCTTCCCCTTACCGCCCTCCGCCGACTCCCCTTCTCCCTCTTTCTCCGTACGCGTTACAGCGGCCTTCTCGAACACCGCGTACGTCATCTGAGACTGCACCGACGTGGGCAGCGGAGCGCCTGGATCCGAGTCGCATGATTCTACGCCATGGCTGCTGCCGGCGGAGCACGGCTCCGACGACGACGCGCTCGCGGGCGCGCCGGACTGAACGTTACTGACACCGCTGCTACCGCTACTAATCGGCGATGCTACTGTCGCGGATTTCGAGCTTTTGGGCTCGACGCGGGTGCGAATAACGAGCGGATACACGGGGCTGGGGCCTGAAACCCTAAAGAGATGCTCCTCCGGGATGCACGAGAGGTCGACGCCCGTGCCTGACGCCTGCACGAACTTCTGACCGAGACCCTTGGGGAAGCGCACGACCGTTGGCGTGTGCACCTGCTGATACACCCCCCTGAAGCTGCACCCCTCGCCCTCCTGCGCCGCGATGAACACGCTCACACTGCACGCGCAGCGGCGGGACGGCCCACAGGGAAGGAAAAATGCAATTAACTCACAAACTCAATTAACTCACAAACTCAATTAACTCACAAACTCACTAAGTAAAGAAGTTTGCAACGAAACGAATTCGTTTTGTGTGGTCACTGGAAATCGGGTATCTTAGTGCACCTGCCGCTGACGGTGGCATCGAAGGTGAAGGCGACGAGGTGCTTGCTGGGATCTGCGGGGTCGCGCAGCAACCGCAGCGAGCTGCGCTTCACGTTCACCTCGTTCCTTATCGTCACCGCTTGTTGCGGCTCCGCTACCACCGGCGGAGGCGGCACCGGCATCATCGGCGGCACGGGAACCTGGTATGGCGGCGGCGCGTGCCCGGGATATCCGCCGTACCACGGCGCGGCGGGCGGAGGAGGCGGATAGTGCGGGTTGTGCTGCCACGGAGAGGGAGGCACTCCGCCGCCGGCCTGCGGGTGGTACGCGTATCCGTAGGGATACGGCGCATGACCGTACGGGGCTTGCGGAACGGCGCCTGCGGGGACGGAGTAGGGGACGGGCGGGTAGTACTGCGGCGGCCTGGCTGGCTGCGACCGACGGTGCTGCTGATGCGCGGGTTGACTCGAGCCCGCTCCCATGGCTGCCTACCAACTTTGACAGACACTAGATTAACGTGTTGAAGAAGATCCGCACGCAGTCAGTTCATAAATCGCGGGCAAATTCAACGGATTAGATAATGAATCGAACACAAGCCATAGGAATGGTGGTGAAACTTGGCAAGACGTGGTAAAAAATGGCTAAGCCATCCTGTACTAGACAAAAATAAGCATTCTACTTCCTCCACTTCCTCCAGATGGCGGACCTTGTCTGAATGACTTCAGTACTCATGGATGGAGGTCGCCGGCGCGGAGACCTCCAGGAAAACAGGTCAAAGGAGGAAGAGTGGTGAGTGTAGTGCAACTGTTGGGCGGGAGCTAGGCATGTATGAATGAAGCGGTGCATGCGCGCACCAGAGCTGGAGGGGGAGGGCGTGACAGAGGGCGCGGACGACAACGGCAGGGAAGGCGGAAGTGCAAATCTGCGCGGAGCGGGGCACTGCTCCATTTCCGCGAGGAACAGAGAGGGAGGGAGGGACGGGTGCGCAGTGCCGTCAGCAAAAAGATCCGGTGTCAGCGAGAGAGCGCAGCGCACATGGCACGACCAATCACCTTGCGGCACAGAACCTGAAACATATCCAGCCAAGCACCTGTCTTGAACAAGAAAGCGGGTGTTACAAGAATGCGAGTTACACATTTCGAAAATGGTCGCAACATGTTTTCGGTGGGACTTGTTACATAGTAAAATTCTGCTGAAACCCGTGTCAAGGCAAGGCTGGTGTCGGCAGAGTGGTCCACCTCACATCCTATGGACGCGGGGCCTTGCTGTGCTGGAAAATGTCTCGCATCATCCAGACCACACGTCCAAGGAGATGCCAAAGGACAAACCTCCAGCTGTCACAACAGCCGCTCAAAACCACATGACTGGGCGCCCAGATTGTTCGCGTACCAGCCTATGTGGCATCCCTTCACGCGCTGAGATCGGATGACTCTCGTTGGGAGCCAATAGAGCGGTTTGCATGTCGTGGTGCCACGTGCCACCAAGCCTTGCCTTGGTCTTCCCAAGCCTTTCTGTGAGGCTGGTTGAGCTTCTTGGCTGCACGCCTTTCCCCTCGCCTCCACCAGCCTCCCCCCGCGTCCACCACCACAAAACCATTCTTCATGCTTCCCACATTTGCTTTTGTTCAAATCTCAACCAGCTGTTTGCTTATTGTCCATGGCCCCGCACCGAGCATGAAGGTGCTGAATCTACTCTAAGCCTTAAAGCAGTAGCCTTTGCATAGCTCTTAGTTTGTTTCAGCACTTTGGTGCTCGGATTGCGGCAATGGCTAGTACCGTCGGAATGGCGTCGTTGGGCAATACGTGCACAGTTGCAGTGACCTCCCTAACCACTGTACGTCTCAATTTTCCTGTTTACCAGTAAACGAATCAATCGAGTTAATCAAACTCCGCTGACTGTGATTGTTATAATTATATAGAGAAACAAACATTGCTGGTTGATTGTTCCTGATTGCATGTACTGCATCTGTGAATAGATTTACATGCTTACAGCCATTGTCTGGATTAATCGTTTTCAGTCTCGCAGGCCCTGTAAGCTTCAGGCGAATGTTGGCTGGGCCAGCAGCACTCTCTTATGTCGCACCAGCAGATGGGCTCCAGGTTGGTCATTTCATATCCAGCTCTTTGTTCCTGTGCCTCGTATGACTTTCACCTTCCCGACCTTCCCACATCAGCATTCCGAGCGTTCACGTGAGCTCTCACCGTTCTTCACCCTTCCCTTATGCTTCTCTCTGGTCTCCGTTAATTTTCTTCACAGCGATAGTTCCTATGCTGAAGAACCATTCTTACGTTTCACACTTGTCCCATGATCATTCCCATGGTCCGCCAGCTTCCATGTCTCGAGTGGCCCAAATTCCATCGGTTCAGTGCGGCAGCAGCAACCCCACCCCCCGCCGCGACGGCGCGAGCATTTCCACCGCCTCCAGCCGCGCGGAAGACCTCGACGCAGCAACCGCCAAGCCCGGCCGCTCGGCCAGGGCTCGCAAGGATGCTACTGACGAGGACAACGGCAGCGCTGTTGAGAAATCCGACCCCATTCGCCGACGCACCCGCGCGAGCAGCAGCAGTGGAGCTAAGGACAAGAAGAGCAAGACGGCTAAAGGTGACGGAGACGCGGAGGAGCAGGCGGACGCAGCGGCTGGGGGGGTGTCGGGGGGGGAGAGGAGGCGGAAGAGCAAGGCGGCGCTGAGCGAGAATGAGATTCGGCTGGCGCAGCTGCGGCAGGAGCTGCAGGCGGCGCTGGAGGAGCGGCAACGCCTCGCCGCGTTGCTGCAAGGGAAGGCGGAACCGGAGGAGACGGCAGCTGCGCAGGTCACGCGCACGCCTGTGGGAGCGGGGGAGGCGGCCGCAGCAGCAGCGGTGCGGAAGGCGTCCGCGGAAAGGGCGCGGGACGAGTCCTTGGCGCTGAAGAAGGAGCGCGAGGCGCTGAGAGCGGTGCAGGCGGCGGAGAAGGCGGAAGAGGAAGCTGCGCAGGCGCGCGAGCGGGAAGAGGCCGCGGCGGGGATGCGCGAAGTCGCAGCGTCGCGCGCGCGCGCTGACGCAGAGGCGAAGGCTGCGGAAGAAACAGCGGCGATGGCGAGTCGTGAAGCGGCCGCACGGGCAAGGGAGGTTGCAGAGGCGCGCGCGAGGGCGGAAGCCTTAGCGAGGCAGCGAGCAGAGGCGGAGGCGAAGGCGCGGGCGGAATCAGCGAAAATGGTGGAGCTGCCGCGGCAAGAGCAGCTGCGGAAGCTGCAGCAGGATCACGAGTTCATCGCCGCGAAAATGTTCTTCTACCCCGGGCAGGTGGAGCCGGGCAAGCCCGTCGAAATCTTCTTCCACCGCCCGGCGAGCGTGCTGAAGGACAAGTCGGGCGTGAACGTGGTGGGCGCGTTCAACAACTGGCAGTGGCAGCCGTTCAAAGCGGAACTCAAACCGTCCGCCGAGGTGCCCAACGACTGGTGGACGTGCCGCATCCACGTCCCGGAAGAGGCGTATCAGGTGGACTTCGTGTTCCACAGCACGGACAACGTGTACGAGAACAATGGCGGGCAGGACTTCTACATCGCCGTGACTGGCGGCATGGGCGAGGCGGAGTTCGAGACCATGCTTAACGAGCGCAAGCGGGAGGAGGCGGAGCGGGAGGCCGCGGAGGAGGCGGAGCGGGAGAGGCGCGCGGCGGAGGAGCGCAGGGTGGCGAAGCTGAAGGCGCAGCAGGAGGCGGAGCGGAAGCAGGCGCGCGACATGGCGAATGACACGCGGAACCGGCTGGGGGAGATGCGGCGCACGTGTGGCACGAGTCTTCAGGGCGTGTGGCGCGTGGAGGAGGTGGGGGGGACGGAGGGGGGTGAGCGCGTTGTGCGGCTGCTGTATAACAGGGCGGGGCGACCGCTGGCGCGGAGTGGCGCGGTGTGGGTGCACGGGGGGGTGAACGGGTGGCAGGACGGGCTGTCCGCCACGGGCGAGCTGAAACCAGATAACCAGGAGAACGGCGACTGGTGGTCCGTGCAGTGTGAGTGCCCCTCCCCCTCTCTTTTCACCTGCAGTGTAGCCTCTTCCGTCAGGCCGCAATGCGTCTCATTCATACCTTCCCCTCCTCCGTCCCCCTCCCGTTCGTCTTCCTCCTACCTCCCTTCCCTCATCCCCCGGTCCCCCCTTCGTTCCCGACTCCCTCAATGGCGGAAGGACTGGTTAGCGGAGCGCCTCCTTTCCCCGTTCCGCTCGAAACTAGCCTACAGCATCTCACCCCGCCATCCTCCCTCCATGCTCCCCTCATTCACCCCCTATTCCACCCCCATCCCCTCCCCTCATTTTCTTCCCCCAGTGACGCTGCCGGCGGACGCAGTGGTGCTGAACTGGGTGATGGCGGACGGGGCGGTGGGCGCGGCGGGGGCGTACGACAACAACGGGCGCAAGGACTTCGCCGCCAGCGTGGGCAGCGACGAGGAGACGAGGAAGCTGTTTGACGACCTGGAGGAGCGCCTGCTGGCCAAGCTCGAGAGGGAACGCATTGAACGCGAGGAGCGCGAGGCCCAGGAGGTGAGAGCGTGAGAGAAGGGGAGGGTTGGCAGCGGTGGGTGTGGGTTACGCGCGGAGGCTGTTTGACCACCTGGAGGAGCGCCTGCTGGTGAAGCTCGAGAGGGAACATTGCCCGTGAGGAGCGCGAGGCCAAGGAGGTGAGAGAAAAGGGGGGGGAGGGTTGGCAAAGGGGGGTGTGGCTGATGTGTGAGGGTGACTTGACGGGATGAAAGGAAGGGTAAAAACGACTAGAGGGGAAAGCGGAAATATAGTTTCAACAAACGCACACACTCGCTGGTACATTAGCGTTGTGTTGGCATGGCCCCTCCCGCATCCCGTAAACCCACGCACTTGCACACATATGTACCTACGCTGCACGCTCTCATCCTCACTCACTCGTGTGCACTCACCACCCCACCCACTCCTACTCACGCCACCCACGTGAGCCACTGTGGGCGTGTGGTCAGAACATTCCTGAGTTCACTCAGAATGATTCCTCAGTCCGCATGCCACTAATTGCCTTGAGATTCGATAGAAGGCATGCTCTCAAAACACACCACGCTTCCCACTCTGGTGTGCCGAGCACAGCAAGCACACACGGAAACCCACTGTTTTGCCTGCGCTTCCCTCACCGCCCCCCTGCTGCCTCTTCATCCTCTTCCCCTCCCCACACACTCCTCCCCACACGCTCCTCCCCTCACAGGAGGCTCGGCGTTTGGAGGCGAAGCGGGCGATGAAGCGGCGCACGATGGAAACCTTCCTGCAGTCGCAGGCACATGTGTTCTTCACGGAGCCCGCTGAGCCGCGTGCCGGGGAGACGGTGCGCGTGTTCTACAACCCCCAGAACACCGTGCTGCATGGGCGGCAGGACGTGTGGATGCGTGGGTCCTTCAACCGCTGGACCCACCGCACGGGGTGCTTCCTCCCCGTGCACATGCGCCCCGCCTCCAACGGCATGCACCTGGTCGGCGAGGGTGAGTCGCGTGACACGGTTTTGAGACGTGCACATTCTCCCCCACTTGCTCCCCCCTGCTGTGGCCCCTCCCCTGTGGTGCGGAGCAGTGGTGGTTGGGAGGGGGGGCACGTTCATGATGTGCATGGTTCATGCACATGCACAGCAGCGACTGCTCTTACCCCTTACTACCACCCATGCTCCCTCCCTACTCTCTGCTATCTGCCCTCTCTTGGTGTTGTGTCTCTGCCTGCATATCCACCCACCCACCGAACCACCCTCCCAACCAACCACCCATCCCTCCATTGACGGTACCCCACGACGCGTTCATGATGGATCTGGTGTTCATGGACAGCAGTGACCCCTCTTGCCCCTCACCACCGCCCACTCTCCCTCCCTACTCTACCCTCTTCCCCTGTGCATCCACCCCCCAGTGACCGTCCCCCACGATGCATTCATAATGGACCTGGTGTTCATGGACAGCAGCGACCCCAACGTGGCGGCATACGACAACAGGGGTGGGCTGGACTACCACGTGCCCATTGTCGCCAGCACCACCAAGGAGCCGCCTCTCTACATCGTGCATGTTGCCCTCGAGATGGCTCCCATCGCCAAGGTACGTCACACAGCACTCTACATGCAGCTCATCGCCAGTGTGGTACGCCGCGCCTCCATCCATGCATCTCATAAGCGCACCGCCCCACCCTTTCTGCTCTCCTCCCCGTGCAACCAGAACTCTCGTCCCCCATGCCGCCTCTCCCTCGCATCATGCTCACCATCTCCCCCTCCCCCGTCTGCGCTTACCGCTCATCTCTCGTGTGTTTGCCAACCGCTCTTGCTGTGGGCATGCGGATGCGTGCCTGTCATCGCATTGCACTGGCATGTGAATGGCCATGACCACGCATGGTGCATGGCATGTGGTGCATGGCATGGGGTGCATGGCATGTGCAGGTGGGGGGTCTGGGCGACGTGGTGACGTCGTTGTCGCGGGCCATCCTGGAGCTGGGGCACAAGTCGGAGGTCATTCTGCCCAAATACGACGTCCTCAAATACGACTGCGTGAGTCACACCTTAGATATGACTGTGAGTCACACACACCTTAAGTATCACTGCGTGACTGACCCGTGCATTCATTCAATCCACAAGCACCGCAATGAACCGCAGGCAGCTGTGCATTTTCCCCTGCACTCCCTCCCGCCCCTCCCCACACCCAGCAAGCACCTCACCTCACCTCACTCCACTATACCTCCCAACCATCATCGCGCATCATCAAGCACCGTTTCCATGCTCTCCCTGCACGCCACATTGCAGATCCAGGACCTGCAGGACCGGGGGTCGTTTGCATGGGGCGGCACCAACTGGCGCATGTGGTTTGGCTACGTGGAGGGCATCGGCGTGCACTTCCTTGAACCCGAGAGCGGGTCAGTGCGCACGGAGAGGGGGTGGGGCGAATGGGATGGATGGGGGAGAGAGGATGAGAAGGGGTGGGAAGGCCGAATGGGATGGTTGGGGGGCGGGTGGGCAGGGGCGGGGCATGCGGCACTGTTGAACCATTGCTGTCGCTGCTTGCTTCATTCCAAAGTAAATCTTCATTTCTCGTCACCGATGGTCACTGATTGCCATACACTACTGCCACTCACCTTTTACAACTCAACCACTGTATCTGCTTCTCCTCTCCGCTCGTTCTCTCTGATCATCCTCCTCCGCACCCACCCTCCCATTGTCCCCCTCTCCTCCCCCCCGGGCAGCATATTCTGGGTGAACTGCATCTACGGGCGCAAGGACGACGGGGACCGCTTTGGCACGTTCTGCAACGCTGCGCTTGAGATGCTCGTGCAGACCGGCAGGCAGCCGGTCAGTCACTCTCCCCCTCCTCCTCTCAACCCTGCTCTCTGCTTGGATCACCCCTTGCTATGCTGCCATGACCCGTGACTGGTTCCTTGCTCCATGCTCCATGCTCCATGCTCTGATGCCTGTTTCCACTCTCCCGCACGCGCAACCCTCACCTGCCCTCGTCACGCACTCCGTCATCCACTTCCTTGCGCACCCGCCTATCTCCACCACCCCCGTATCAGTCAACACACCCTCCCCACCCACCCTCCGTGTCTCTCTCTGCCCCCCATCAGGACATCCTACACTGCCACGACTGGTCGTCCGCCCCGGTGGCATGGCTGCACGCGGAGAGCTACAAGCAGTACGGGCTGGGCAATGCGCGCACCGTGTTCACCATCCACAACCTTGAGTTCGGCCAGGCGCTCATCGGCCGCGCCATGGCTGCCTGCAACATGGCCACCACTGTCAGTGCTTCCACTGCCGCCCCCGCTGCTGCTGCTGCCCGCACTGCTTCTGCTGTCCCCACTGCTGCTGCCGCCGCTGCTGCCACCCCTGCTGCTGTGCACTGGCGCAGTGCTATGTTACAATGGCAACTCTTCTGTGCTACATTGCCTTACCGTGCCATGCCACTCACTCTTACTCACTCATTGCCGTACCATGCAGGTATCGCCAACATACGCGTGGGAGATCGGGGGCCACGGGGCGGTGGCAGCGCACCGGGGCATGTTCCACGGCATCCTCAACGGCATCGACCCCGACATTTGGGATCCCATGACCGACCGCTTCCTGCCGGTGCGTGCTTGCTCCTGAGCAACCCCGTGCTAGCATCATACAAGTGTCCACTCCTCATCCTCATGCACACAACAGGCATCTCACTCCATTTTTCCGCTTACCACGTGCCTGCGCCTACTCCTCATCTCGCCATGAGCATCCCGCGCTCCCGCTCCCATAACTCGCACTCGCGCATAACTTGCACTTTCTCCTCTCTCCCTTTGGCCCATCTCTCACACCCACCTGTCCCCCTTGCCTCGCCCACCACCAGATGCGGTACTCAGCGGAGGAGGTGGTGGAGGGCAAGCGAGCGGCCAGGGACGAGCTGCGGCGGCGGCTGAACCTGGCGTTTGACGACCGCCCCGTTGTGGGCATTGTGACGCGGCTCACGGCACAGAAGGGCATCCACCTCATCAAACACGCCATCTGGCGCACCCTCGACCGCGGCGGCCAGGTGAGGAGGGTGGCGCACACGGTGGGAGACAGGTAGAAGGGTAAATGCCAACGGTGAGTAACTGCAATAGGCGAGTGGAAGGTGAGGGAAGGGCGGATTGTGGGTGTGCATGCCGTATTGTGTGGTCCGCACCCCAACCCTTGTGCTCGTGTGTGCTTGTGTGTGTGTGTGTGTGTGTGTGTGTGTGTGTGTGTGTGTGTGTGTGTGTGTGTGTGTGTGTGTGTGTGTGTGTGTGTGTGTGTGTGTGTGTGTGTGTGTGTGTGTGTGTGTGTGTGTGTGTGTGTGTGTGTGTGTGTGTGTGTGTGTGTGTGTGTGTGTGTGTGTGTGTGTGTGTGTGTGTGTGTGTGTGTGTGTGTGTGTGTGTGTGTGTGTGTGTGTGTGTGTGTGTGTGTGTGTGTGTGTGTGTGTGTGTGTGTGTGTGTGTGTGTGTGTGTGTGTGTGTGTGTGTGTGTGTGCATGTGTGTGTGTATGCATGCAGGTGGTGCTGCTGGGGTCAGCACCTGACCCGCGGGTGCAAAGCGAGTTTGAGCACCTGGCGGGGCAGCTGAACAACTCGCACAACAACATGCAGCGCCTCTGCCTCAACTACGACGAGCCCCTCAGCCACCTGGTGGGCCACCCCTCGATGCAATGCTCCCCCACGCATAGATGAACCTCCTGGGACACGGGGCTGTGTCTTATTGCCTCTGCCCACATTGCTTCTGCTTATCCCTTATGCTTCCTGTTGCTGTGACCCATGTCCGCACCCTACCTTGAAACCCGTGCACCCCATGTTCTTATACCCTGTACTCACATCGCCCATGCCCCCTCACCTCATCCTGTGTCCCGTGCCCCTGCCTTCCCCCCTGTGCCGTGTATGACGTGTGCACTGCTCACGGCAGATCTATGCGGGGTGCGATATGATTCTGGTGCCATCCATTTTTGAGCCCTGTGGCCTCACGCAGCTCATCGCCATGCGCTACGGTGCCGTGCCCGTCGTGCGCAAGACAGGAGGTCAGCCACCCACTCCCCCTCTCTCTCGTCTTCCCTCGCATCATGTCACTCTCCCCATTGTTCCCTGCCTCCTTCTCTCAATGGCACAATGGCTTCCGTTGCCCTCCTCCCTTTCTCGTTCCTAATCCCCCTTCCTCGACCTCCCTCCCCTCCCTCCCCTTCCTCCCCACCTCCCTTCCCCCTCCCGCTCCCCCCTCCTCCCTTGAACCCCCCCCCCCCCCTCCACCTCCCCCGGCATGCGGCGTCATCACGGGTGGCAGGGTTGAACGACACGGTGTTTGACGTGGACAACGACCACGACAGGGCCAGGGCGCAGGGCAAGGACGTCAACGGCTTCTCCTTTGAGGGCGCCGATGCCGCCGGCCTCGACTATGCCCTCGACAGGTAACCCATGCCTTGGTCTACCAGCCTGCAAGTCTTTTCTTCGAGCCATTCACAGAAATGGAAATAGGTTTCGATTGTCAATGGGCTGCACTCTGAGATTGAACGCACGATTCCTAAATATCGACCCCCCTATTTCACCTCTTAGTATGCTAATCATTCCCCTCCCCCCCCTCTCCGATTGCTCCACTTGGTGCCTCCCTCCTCTATGAGCAGAGCCATATCTGGGTGGTATGACGGACGTGAGTGGTGGAATGGGTTGGCCAAGCGGGTCATGGAGCAGGACTGGACTTGGAACAGACCGGCGCTCGACTATCTCGAGCTCTACTATGGCGCTAGGAAATGAGCTCGCAAGTGCACTAGGCAATAAGCAATGAGATGAAAAAAAAAAAAAAAAAAACGGCATCTTATTCCTTTGTATGGTTTGCGACCACATGAACGTGTCTTAAGTACTCGAGTTGCGAATACTTCGCCTGATGTTTCCTGGAATAGTCCCAACTGTACGTTTGATGTATGCTGAGTCATGTGTGGTCTACAAACCATCTTGTACTAAGAATGAGCAGGGTATGAACTCACCATCATGGATGTATTTTTTGTTTGCATATAGATTCTTTAGAAATGTAGGCCTGACTTAAACAGCTTAGTACCGGGTGTAAGGATTTTTCCTTTATCCTTACCGGGGTTCACTGCTACGCGTACAACCCCGATTTTCGGACTTCGCACGTTCGGCCGACATCAACGATGCCGAGGCTCCTCCGCGTCGCCTTCGGCTTTCCGTCGCCAAACCTGCACCCAACCTCGTTTCCCGAGGTTCCCTCCTAGCTAGGACACTCACTATATAATCGCGTGCCTTCATTGTAATCGACAGTTCATTAAGTCACAGCTTCGTTATTCGTTATTCCGCGCACTCTCCATTACAACTCATAACACCTGGTATCAGAGCTACTTTCCTAATTCACCCCGCTTTTCGAGGGTAGGTTGGTGGCACGGGTTGGCTTGGTAAAGAGGACTGCAAAACGGTTGGCTGCAAGGTTAGTTAACTCTAACCTGCCCGACTCCGAAAGTTTTTGCTTTCCTCTTGCCTGCAAGGCCACGGATACCCCTCTGCCCACCAGACGAAGCGTGCGACTCATGGACCAGGAAACGTTGAACAAGATGATGGCGCAAATGCAAGAGCTACAAGCAACAGTGCAGAGTCTTTCGGCAGAAGTGACAACACTACGTGTGGAAAACACCGAGCTACGCCAGACGCGAGGTGAAACGCGTCAGGAACCGCCCGATGAAGAAGGCGAAGGCAACAGTCAAGCGATGAGCAATCCTTTGGACGCGCTCACACGTGGCTTTGAAGAGGAAGACAGGCAACGAGCGGCAGCAACGCCAGTTGCAGTTACGACGATCAAGATTAAACCTGCGAACCCGCCCCAGTTCAACCCCACGGACAAGACGACTACAGTGAAGGGATGGTTATTCAGCGTTGAAGTCTTCTTCACTGCAGCGAACGTCTACGACGATGCCACGCGTATTAATTACGCGGTTTCTCTACTTCGAGGCGCAGCGCTTGAATGGTGGCGCCACACCTTGGACACAGGGACTCCGACAGGTGTGACACATGCGGCAGACGGGACCTTGACATCGGCTAATCAAGGGGCAACCTCAATCTTCGGAGTGACCAAGATACGCACGTGGAAGGAGTGGGGCGCAGCCTTACGAGATCGCTTCGAGCACGTATCCGCCTCGGAGCAAGCTCGCATGAAGCTGCGTAACTGGTCGCAGTTGGCATCTGTTCAAGACTACACAGCGTCGTTTATGGCCTTTGCTGACCAAGTGGACGACATGGCGGAAGCGGAGCGGTTAGATAAATACATCGGCGGCCTGAAATACGAGATACAGTACGAGGTGCGTCGATGCCGCCCGACTTCGTTCCTGGAAGCCATACGGCTAGCTGAGTCTACAGATGCGTTGATGCAGTATGCGAGGACAGGTTCCCCGGAAGGAATCCGTTTTCGTGGACAGACCCAACGGGCCACAATCAACGTAGTCCACGCACCAGACCGCCCCTTTACAGGGACGTGTTTTAAGTGCGGGAAGACGGGTCACTACGCAAGAGAATGCCCCGAGAAAACACCGGCGAAAGGGAACGACAGGAGGGAGCAGGGAAATGGGAAGAGTCAGTAATTTACGGGCCCCTTACTGACTATGCTTCGTCGCCCGAACACCAACATCCCCACCGAGTAGTGGTTCCGATTCACGCAATCGATCGCACTCGGCCGAATAACGGGGATACTCATGTGGATCACCCTGTGCTGGTCGTTGGCACAGTGTTAAAAATTACTCTGAAAATGTTCGTCGACGGAGGGGCCAGCCATAGCCTCTTCAACTTGGCGACAGCAAAAAAATGCAAGCTGCAACTTGACAGGTGTCTGCCCGAAATTGACGCTCGCCTCGTGGATGGGACGCCTCTGGCGATTTTAGAAGAAACACGGACGGTGAGGATCGAGTGCGGCGACATTTTCGGCTTCAGCATGAAATTTCTCGCGACTACACTGGATGGCTGCGACGTGCTGCTGGGACGTGATTGGCTGCGACGGCACAACCCCGTCATCGACTGGACAACGGGATCGTGCAACATCAACAAGCACGAGGGGCTAGTTAAACTGCCTGCATGGACACCTGACTACATCCAAGCCCCGTGCGTCAAAGCTATCACTATAGCTCGCCACTTCAACAGGGGCGCGCAGCTGTACGCTGTATGTTTGCGCGAGTTGGCAACCGACACCGACGGACAAGACATTGAGAAGCTGTGTGCAGCTGTACCGCCGGATTTAGCGGAGCTGATACGACAGTACCCGGACATTTTCCCCGACGACCTGCCACCTGGACTGCCACCCGAGCGACCCGAAGACCACAAAATACAGCTGGAACCTGGCGCGCAGCCGACTGTTCGTACACAGTGGCGGTTGACCCAACCGGAACTCGAGGAGCTGCGAAGCCAACTTGATGGCTTGTTGGAGAAGGGGTTTATCAGACCCAGTACGTCTCCCTACGCGGCCCCGATCCTGTTCACCCCGAAAAAGGATGGTGGGCTTCGCATGTGTATTGATTATCGCGCGCTCAACCGGGTTACAATCAAGTCTCGCTACCCGATCCCACGCATCGACGACCTCCTCGACCAACTTCGCGGCGCTCGCTACTTCTCAAAAATCGACTTACGTGGCGGTTACCATCAGATACGGGTCTTCGCAGACGATTGTTATAAGACCGCGTTCCGCACCCGCTACGGAAGCTACGAATTCCAAGTGATGCCGTTCGGCCTCACAAACGCGCCTTCGACTTTTCAACTGACCATGAACCGAGTTTTCAGGGAATTTCTTGACAAGTGCGTTATTGTCTACTTGGACGATATTTTGATTTTCAGCAGGACAAGAGAACAACACCTCCGCGACCTCGACGCAGTTTTTAAGCGACTGCAGGAGAACCGCCTCATCACCAAGGGCTCCAAGTGCGAGTTTTTTAAGCAAGAGTTGGAGTTTTTGGGCCACGTCATCTCCCGCGACGGCATTAAAATCGACCCGGCAAAAATCAAGGCTATACAAGAGTGGAAGTCCCCGACGAATATCACGGAACTTCAGAGTTTTCTGGGGTTCGTGAATTATGTCAGGAGGTTTATCCCGAATATGGCGGGGATAACCGGCCCGCTGACCGACCTGCTGCACAAGGACATCAATTTTGTGTGGGGGGGGGAAGCAGAAGCGGCTTTTCAGGAACTGAAGAATTTTCTGGTTTCCCCTCCGGTTCTACGCATCGCCGACCCATCCAAGCCGTTCGAAGTCATCACCGACGCCTCAGATTTCGCCATCGGAGCTGTACTCCTCCAGGATTTCGGAGATGGGCTGCAGCCGATTGCCTACGAATCACGCAAGCTGCAGTCTGCCGAGCGCAACTACCCGATACACGACAAGGAGATGCTCACAATTATACATGCATTCAAACTATGGCGCTGCTACTTGGTAGGTGCCGACGTCACTGTTCGCACGGACCACAAGTCCCTACAGTACCTGCGAGCTCAGCCCAACCTCAACCCGCGACAAGTTCGTTGGCTCGATTACATGGAGAGCCACTTCACCTACCGCATCACGTACAAGAAAGGGGCGAATAACATCGCCGACGCCCTTACCCGACCAACCGTACAATCCGCTGCAGTACTCATCACCCACTCAAACCCACTACTTACGGGACTATTCACCCACGGCTACACTACGGACCCGTACTTCACGACTGGAAACCACCAGCAGGCAACGACGCAAAAGGGGAACTATTACCTAAAGGCCGGAACTGACCGGATTTGGGTTCCCGCTTACCGGCTGCTGCGTGAACTCCTTATCCAAGAGGTTCACGATTCAAACCTCTCCGGACATTTCGGGGTTGATAAAACCCATAAACTGTTGCACCGTCAATATTACTGGCCTGATTCCTCTAACGACGTGCAGCGATATGTGTCCTCATGCAGGGTGTGCCAAGCCATGAAATCGACACGACAGCGGCCAGCTGGATTGCTGCAACCACTGGAGCCACCCGAACGACCATGGCAACAGGTGACGATGGACTTCGTCACAGGGCTGCCAGCTGGGCCATCCGGGAACGACGCGGTACTCGTCGTCGTCGATCGCTTCACGAAGATGGCACACTTCGCACCGTGTCGTACAACAATCACAGCCGAAGAAACTGCGCGCCTCTTCATCTCAACCGTCGTGCGACTACACGGAATCCCGTCGGCGATCGTCAGCGACAGGGATCCGAAGTTCACCTCACGATTTTGGAAGGAGACGTGGGCACAGTACGGCACAAAGCTACAGTTCTCATCAGCATATCACCCACAAACCGACGGACAAACCGAGCGAACCAATCAGACGATGGAGGAGCTGATCATGACAAACTGCCCTGACCCTACTCGCTGGGAAATGTCACTCGCCATGCTGGAGTTCGCGTTCAACAACGGACCGTCTAGCACGACTAATCACTCCCCGTTCTTCCTGAATTATGGGATGGACCCGGTGGTGCCAACCACCACGACACTCGACAACCCGGTCCCACGGTCACAAACATTTGTGACAGAACTTTAAGAGATCCGCGAGAAAGCAGCCGACGCCATTCGCAAGGCGAATATTACTGCCCGGAAATACTCGGATCTCCTACGACGAGAAATCGTCATGACGCCTGGGCAATTAGTGCTACTCGACACGAAAAACCTACGCCTGCCTGGCTCGAACAAACTACGGCCACGATTTTGTGGGCCTTTCCGCATCATCCAAATGGTGACACCTGTCACTGCGAAGCTGCTACTACCCGACGACTGGCGTATACACGACGCCTTCCATGTCAACCTCCTTCGCAAGTTCGTGCCTGCCACGACAGACATAACGCGCCAGAACGCCGCCCCGACAGCTCGACCTGTCTCGGAACCGACCACCGACCCTTAGAAAATACTCGGACATCGGATACGGCTCAACGTCACTGGCCGCCACGTGGACTTTCTAGTCCGATGGACTGACCGCACCAGTGAGGACGACACATGGGTGCCATCCGCATTGCTTGAAGCATCCCCGCTTCTTGGTGATTATCTCGCCCGCAAGCGCGTTGCGGATATTGACCACCCGGCTTAAGGGGGGGGGTAGTGTAAGGATTTTTCCTTTATCCTTACCGGGGTTGACTGCTACGCGTACAACCCCGATTTTCGGACTTCGCACGTTCGGCCGACATCAACGATGCCGAGGCTCCTCCGCGTCGCCTTCGGCTTTCCGTCGCCAAACCTGCACCCAACCTCGTTTCCCGAGGTTCCCTCCTAGCTAGGACACTCACTATATAATCGCGTGCCTTCATTGTAATCGACAGTTCATTAAGTCACAGCTTCGTTATTCGTTATTCCGCGCACTCTCCATTACAGCTCATAACACCGGGCCTGTCCATTATGCGTCACGCATCGTGGAAAGGACTGGTCATGATGCTAAAGGTCGCTGGATGGCCATACGCTTGCCACCGCAGCGATTCAGTGAGTGTGAATTTGTGGTGACCAGGCAATCTCAGTTGGTGGAGCGTTATCCGCACTTTTTCCGATCCACCAATCCGCGCGCTGCTCTCAACTCTGTGCCTCTTTCACACACCTGACTTTCGCGCTTCGCATCATCCCATCTGTCGCTCCAAGAATTTCGGCAAGCGTTTCGCATCCCGCTTTTTGTCTGGCGGAGAGGGTAACGTTGAGACGGACCTCTCGTCTAGTGGTGCGCTGAATGGTTGTGCGACTGTGCGACCGGGAAGCACGTCGCGATGACCGTCAATCGGTCGCACATTGTGGATGTCATGCGACAAGGCGCCTCCACACCACACAGTGGACGAGCGGCGAATGTGCAGGCTGAGGAAATCTTCCCTCGCACGAGCCACCTGTTTTCCGGAACAGGCAATGCCTTGTCACTTTCGCGAATCCCATTTGTGCAACCACCTCAGGCGAAAAGGCAGAACGTTTCGCGACCAATTTCCAATGATGTCGCACAGAGCTGGCGATCATCGTCAAGCACCAGGGCTGGTGGTGGTTGCGCTCACTCATTCCAGGCTCCATCCACCCCCATGGTCAGCTCAGGCCACATCCATGGCTGCCCCTCGCAGCTCGCTCCTCATCCACTCATCCTCATCCATGGGAGCCCGAGCAGAGCACTCGTCTGTGTTCTCTCCGACTCGATCGTATCCCTCACCACCATTCACTGCCCCACTCGGTCCCACCCACCCTCCAACGAAGCTGCCTTTTCCCTGTGACGGATTGCGCGCTGTGATTGGCTGCTAGAGGAGCAGGTGATTGAGAGCATATGCCATATCCTTGCCCGCAGGAGCAGGCAGGACCTTCAATGCCCTACAAGCAGCCGAATGAGCAAGGCTAACTCGAGTGTGGCTCCACATAGCTCCTCGCATCATTAGGAATCTATTCCTGACCAGCCTTGTGCTGTCGGACAGCCACTCGTCCATTCACAGCGGATTCGCTCTTGTCCCTCGATATCACCACGTTCCGCCTCACTCGCTTGCTCCCTCGTATTTCTGTAGCCCTCGATCGCCTCCCCCTTCCCTCCGCTACCCGACCGGCCGCCGCCATGCCGCCATGGGAAACGTACCTTGCGCGGCCACCGCTGCAGGCGCAGGTTTCTTATCCGCATGACACGTGGCAGAGCGCCGTATCGTGCGACAGTTTCGCACACGACGCGGGTTCGTGGCAGCACACCATCGCTCAAGCCCCCCCGCCACTACCCGCCTACCTCTCCTCCGCGCTTTCCGCGCTCGCTTCTGCGCATCCCTCTCATCTCCCGGACCGCGCATTCTCCCCATCTCTCCCACACCACGCGCAAGGCCAAGCCCTCTCCGGGCCGTCGGTGCTTCCGCCGAGCTTGCCCTCCGCGCCCTTCACGTCGTCCGCCTTCGCCTTCCCCTCGCTCGCCCTCGAGACCTCTTTCTCCGCGCTCTCCCTCTCTCTCCGCTCGCAGTCCCCGCCTGACCCTCCCGCGCGCCCTTCTCTCCCCCACGCCGCTTCCGCGGGGTCTCTCCGCGCTCTGGCTTGCGCCGCGGTGTCCGCGCCCACCTTTGTGCCATCTGCGCCGTGTTCGGCGGACTATGACAGCAGCAGCAGCGGCCGTCGCAGCGCGAGCTTGATCCCCTATCCGGGGGAAAAGGCGACACACGCTACGTCGTCGGGTTCGAGTCCGTCGTCGCCCGCGTCGTTCGTGTCGTCCGTTTCGTCGTCAGTCGCCGGCCATGCGACGACGGCGGATTTGTCGCACGACTCGCTTCCTGCCGAAAACCCTTGGTACGTGTCGTCGCCTGCGACGTTGGCCCCCGCGGATGGCGCAAAGGGCGAGGCTGGCGCAGCGGCGGCTGGAGGCGGAAAGGCAGGTTCGGGGGAGGCAGCAGGCGGAGAGGAAATTCCTAATGCGCTTCCCCGCGCAGTTGGCGGCACGGTGGAAGAGCCGGCTGCGGCGGGCGCGGCGCATGCGGCACACCCGACACGCGAAACACCGGTGACACATGCGGAGGAGGTGGAACGACTTCAGCAGGCCGTGCGGCGGGCGGAAACCGCTGCGGCGGAAGCGCAGCAGGCGGCTGCGATGGCGCAACTAGAAATGGCTCAGATGCAGCGCGCGTGCGGGGAGCATGCGCGGCAGGTGGTGCGCCTGCGACGCGAGCTGGATTCCGCGGGAGACGCGCACCTGCAGCTAGCCGCGGAAGTGGCGTGTCTGCGCGGGGAGCTGGCGGGCGCGGGGGAGGTGGCAGCGCAACAGGCGGGGCAGGCGGCGCGGCTGCGGCGGGAGCTGGAGGGGACGCAGTGCGTGGTGGTGCGGCAGGCGGCGGAGGCCACTCAGCTGCGGCGCATGGTGAAGGCCGTCCACGCGCTCGACGTACGTTGCGCTTCTTTCCCCATCTCGGCATGCTTTACATCACCGCCAACCTCTGAGGCCCTTCTTTCCGCTGCATTCTCGGCGTCTCTACTTCCACATCACCGCGTGCCCTGGTCGTCGCCCTCTCCTCCACTCCTCTTCCCATTTCCCATCCATCCCCTCCTCATTCTACTCTCCCTTCCCCCCATCTCTTCCCCCATCTCTTCCCCCATCTCGACCCCTCCCGCTCTCCCCCGCCACCCCACTCTCCCGCTCCCCCTTCCCCCATCAGCTGGTGCATCTGGAGGACTTCGCCATCGCAGCGTTGCAGCACGACCTCAAGGCGGAGGCGCGCCGCGGGCTGCCCACGGCGGACGCGGCGCTGTTAGACGCGCCGGACGAGTACGGCGGGTGCCGGCAGTTCTACCAGACGGGCTGCTGCCACTTCGGCCGCGGGCGCCGCCCGTGCCCCAACGAGGCGAGCCACTTCTGCCTGCGCTGCGGGCGCGCTCACGGCACGGCGCCGCACCTGGTGCTGCTGAGACGCCTCAACGACCGCTGCCTGCTGCCGCAGTGACTGGACGCACACACACACGTGCTTGCCACAGGCTCCGCGCGTCGCCGTGATCGCGGCTCAAGTCTCGCAACGACTCTCGTCACTGACCTTCTGCGACCTGCTGCCACAGTGGGTCGACCGATCCAGCAAGTTGTGATCGAATCATGACCAGCAGCATCACCGTTCCAGATCAGCCGTGAAACGCTTGTCTCCTCTTTCTCCACACACTCGCAGCTCCTCTGCCCGCCCGCCACACACCGGAGCCTGCGCCCCTCTTTTCCATGCCAGCACCACACTGCACCGAGTCATGGGTGTGGCTGCACGGGGCTAGCCATGCCCACGCACGTCCCTTGTGCCGTGCCTCTCCGCCTCCCATCTTCTTCCCAAGCCCATGTAGCGCTGCTGTGGCCTGCTTGCTGTGGCCACCCCTCTCTGCAGCCGTGTTGTCACCACACCGCACCGTGGCACAGCTGGGTTACCTGTCAACCATCACTGTGCTGCCCTCCCTCCCACCCATCACACACGCCCCCAGCGCCACGCACAAGCGATGTGCGCTGGTTCACTTGGCTCAGTAACTAGTGCAACTCACTATTGGCGGTTCTGCCGGAGGTGTACTGAAGCTCTTGTGTTGCCGCGGGCACATAGCACCGCCATGTTTTGCTGCTGCCTTACCAAGCTTGCACGGACAGGCAGCCTTCCAGCATGCTGCTGGGAGCTCTGTTGATCTTGTCAGCTGTTTTGGCATCAATGCCCGCCCACCTCTGTGTCATTCGGTGCTTATTGTTATGCTGTAACCTCTTAAAGATATGCAATGCACTAGTAAAAAACAGGCGCGCTTTCGTAGGCTGCCATGTCCCTCTGGGAGGCACAAATTCAGATCGGACTGGCATCGATCGATTTAACGAGTTCGAATAAATACCGTATGTGGCTCTCTTTGGAACAAACCCCTGAACGAAGATGTTCAGGCTGTGGGGAAGCTTGAAAACCAGAACAGATGCGATTTGAAGGGGGGAGGGCAGGGTACACGTGGGGGCCCCCTGACTTCGTGAAGAAACAGGCCCGGCCGGCCCAGCACAGGAGTTTCAACAAACCTGCGGTATCTCCAAAACCTCAACTTCTCAGGCTCCAGGTTGAAACTATATATGCAGTGCCAATTGTACATACCAGTATCAGTAGTCACACAATCGTGTGTCACCTTCACCAAGCAGGTACCGTATAGCCCCATTTAGGTAGCAATACACCGTATAAAAAAAAAAAAAAACACAATGCTTTAAAGTGTCACCACCGCTTCCAGCCAAGATTGAAAGGGTTGTTGAACCCAAACCGCCCTCCTTGTGCCGCCCCATTGCCACCCGACGGACCATCACCCCTCTTGGCCTCCACCCTGCCACTCTGCCTCAGCCCGTCACAAATCTGCTCCGTGATTGGTGACTGATACTCCTGCGGCACGTTCTGGCAGAACCGGGCAGCTTCGTCAGACTCCACAGAGGGAGCGACGAGGGGGACGAGCGATTGTAACCGCGCAACGGCAGCACGCTGGGCCTCCACCTCTGCTTCCATGGTGTGTAACCGCGCCATTGCCTCTACGCTCTCTGCCTCTGTCTCCCCTGCTACCTGCTCCAATGCCCTGCTCGCCTGTGTGGCTGCATCCAGCTGGGCCGACAGGGTGTTGATCTGCCGGGAAGAAGAGGGTTGGGACGGCGAGGCGGAGCAACAGAAAGGAGGAACAATTGTTGCTAGCCTGCACTGGCTTCAACACTTAGCAGACCCCTTGGGAGGTCCATGTGGAAATGAAAGGGATGGTAATCAGCCAGGAAGGAGCGAGTGTGCATTGCAGCACGACAGAATGGCTGTGGTACTCTTTGAAGCACAGCGGCTTACGGACCTGGTTGGATCGAGCAGTCTCGGAGAAGTAGCTGTTGTAAATGGCCAGCGGCGCCACCACAGCCAGCGCCAGTGACCCCCCGAGCGCCCACTGCAGCGTGCCCGCCTGCTGCAGCAGCTCCTCCTGCTGCTGCTGCGCCTGCTGCTCCACCTCCCCCACCACCTCCCGCAGCGGCCGCCCGTCCACCTGGCAGGCGGCGTCCTGCTCCGCCAGCTGTGCGTCCAGTGCTTCTCGCAGTTGCTGGGCCTCGGAGACCAGGTGGGCACTGCGGTGCGTGATGGCTGATGCCTCCTCTGATACCCGGTCCATTAGTACCCTGTGGGCAGGTGGTGGGCGTGGGGAGAGGTGGGGGAACGGGGGTGGGATAGGGGCATGGGGTGGTGGATTGAGTCGGTGATTGCGTGGCACGTGGGGTGGTGAACCTGTGTGATTCTGTGAGGCATTCCGATCCCACAACACACACGGGTGAACACGCATACACATGGCGACCTCACACTCACTTGAGCAGCTCCAGAGGGTCCTCCACGCCCTCCATCTGTCCCTCCAGCTCACCCTCCGCCGCCACCGCTGCTCCCTGCACGCCCACCTCCCTCCGCACCCACCCCTCATTCCCCTCCGCACCCCCTCCCCCCCCTCCTCCACCTCCCACCTCCACCCCCACTGAACTCGCCACGCTCTGTGCGGCATCTGCCACCGCTGCCAGTGGTGCCAACGCCGCAAGGGGATTGAGAGGCCCCAGAGGGCTGAGAGTGCTGAGGGAAGAGGCGTCTGTGTCCAGAGACAGGCTCCAGCTCAGCCCTGCTTCCTCCGCGTCTGTGCCATGCTCCTCCGAGAGTGCTGAGAGTGCTGAGCCTGCCTCGCGCCTCCGCCCGTGCGCGTCCACCCAGTCCAGCTCAGCTTTGAGCCGGGTGACGTGGCGCGCCATGGCTGCCAGCTGGACGGAGAAGGCGGCGGCCTGCGCCCGCAGCTCCTCGCCCTGCTGCTGCGCGGCCGGCAGGTGCACTGACAGGGCGGCTTCCCGCTGGGCTTGGGCCGCCTCGCTGTCCTTCAGATGCATGGCCTGGGGGGCCAGGGAGGGTAGTGGAGAAGGGATGAGAACAGGGGGAGGGTAGAGAAGTTGGTGGGCAGTGGTGAAAGAAGTGCGAAGTGGGGAGGGCGAGAGAGAGCAGGAAAGGAAAAATGGAGAGAAGCGGCTTACATACAGCGACAAGCGGCTGATAGCCTCGGCATTGGCAGCCACGGCAGCAGCAGCATCAGCATCCCGCCCCTGCAGGTGAACCACCTCGCTCTCCACCCTCTCCGCCCTGCGAGCAGCCTCAGCAGAGGTCATCTCAAGTGAGTTGAAGTGCCCACTCAGGAACGTCACTCGCGCCGCTGCTGCACTTGCTCTCTGCTGCGCTGCTGCCGTGCGTGATACCAGCACCGCCATCTGAAGGGGGAGGAGGGCGGCAGGGAAGAGGATATAGTGATTGGGAATCTTTCATACTGCGCTATATTACAAACAAACGTCATTCATTCATCAAATGAGACCTCCAGAACTCCACTCTACACCCCTCCTCTCCCATCCCAATCCTTTTCCTCCCTGCCCCTTCCCTTCCCTTCCCTCTCACCTGTGCTTCCAGCGCCCCGGCACGGCTGTCAGCCTCCACGCTAACCACCTCAGCCTGCTTCACCCGCTCTGCCAGCAGCCCTGCCTGCACCTGCAGCTCCTCTATTCTCTCCGCCGCCGCCCGTGCCGCCGCCTCTTTCCGCCCCGTCCGCACCACCGCCAGCTCCTGGACCCCCGCCCTCCTCTCCTCCGCTGCCGTCCACGCCGCCGCCCGCGCCCGTGCCGCCCGCTCCACCTCCTCCCGCACTTTCTCGTTTGCCGCTGCAACTCTCTCCTCTGCCTCCTCTGCCACTGCTCGCTCGCTCCTCAGCTGCCCCTTTGCCTCGTCCACCTGTGCCCGAAGCTCTCCAATTTCCTTCTCCACCTCGGCGTTCCTCTCCTCTCCCTCTGCCACCTTTAATTTCAGAGCTGAAATTTCTTCCTCCACCTCTCCCAGAGCACGCACCTGCTGCACACCTCCTGTCTGCTTCACTCTCAGCTGTTCCCTCATAGCAGTCTCTTTCACCTTTGCTGCCTCCAACTCCTCCTCCCAGAGGGCCTCTCTGCGTTTCAGCGCTTCGATCTCAGCCGTCCGTGACGCCACGTCAGCGAGGACCTGGTTGCTGGACGCCTCCAGCTCAGCAAGCCACTCACGCGCCTCTGCCAGCTGGGCAGATAAGGTCTCCACCCTGACATTGGCTGCCTGGAGCTCGGGAGGGGTGTCAGGCGCGAGAGAGGGGAGTCCCGTGCCCGTGGTAACATCGTAACCGCTACTTAAGGGGCTGCTGTTACCATTGCTTGAATCGCCAACACTGATGCCGCTACCATTGCTGTCAGCGCTGCTACTGCCGTTGCTGGCGCCGTTGCTGCTCGGGTCTGACTCTGGCTTGGTCACCGTTGAAGAGGGGTCGAACAGGCCCTTCAACGGGTCTGCTGCCCTCTCGCCCTGCTCCTCCTCTGCTGCTCGCTCCGCCACTGCTGCTGCTGCTGCGTCCGCCTCTTGTGCCTTGGTCCTCACTTGGTGCTCTGCGGACTGGAGCAAGGAAAGCGGGGTGGGGGGAGGGGGGAGAGAATGATGGCGAGACAAGGCAGACTCGGGAGGAGAGAATGATGGCGAATTCGAGACAAGCTTTGCCATGTGCCAACCTGACCTGAGCAACAAATGCAAGCTGGAAATCCGCCTGAGCAGCAGAGCTAGACCACACCCACCTGAGCAACAGAGCGGGCAAAGCTGACGTCAGCGAGGAGCCACTTGTCAAAGAGCTCCCGCGAGCACTGCTCTTGTGCTTGCTGTGATGGGGACGGGCAGGTGTATATAAGGGCACAAACCACAGGCGCGGGGATAGCAGACGTGAGGGGGGAGAGGAGGGGGGCGAGCAGGTGTAAGGAGGGGTAGGATGCATAAAGGGGCAGAAAGTGCAAGGGTTGCGCTGGTGCCCGTGGGACTGGTGATGGGGGTGATGGGGGTGATGGGGGTGATGGGGGTGAAGGGGGTGATGGGGGTGATGGGGGTGATGGGGGTGATGGGGGTGATGGGGGTGATGGGGGTGATGGGGGTGATGGGGGTGATGGGGGTGATGGGGGTGATGGGGGTGATGGGGATGATGGGGGTGGTGGTAAGGTGAGGATGGTGGGGTCGCGCATACAGTCAACCATGGGGACAACACGGTACGGCATGGCATGACATGGCATGGCATGGCAGGGCATGGCAGGGCATGAGAGGGCGAGGAAGGGGAGGCAGGGAGAGCAACGCACGGCCCAGTCGGACTGGGAGTCGCCGTGCTGCCCCGTGGTGCAGCGCGTGTGATAGACGGCCTCTGCTATCGTTATCACCCGTGATGTCATTCCCGCCAGCAGCCTCTCCCTCGCCTGGTGGATGGATACAGGAGGGGAAGGGGGGCAAGGGGGAGAAAAGAGAAGGAGAAGGGAAATGATGAGCAGAGGGTGGGTGGGAGGATGGGGAGTGGGGCGAGGGAAAACGGGGTAGCTTGCAAGGGGTGTAGATTGTGCGTGGGGTAGATTGCACGCGTGGGTAGCGCACCTCCATGAGCACGTTGACAGGCGGGTCGGCGTTGGGCTTGCTCTCCTTCACCACCGCCAGAGCTGCGCTCACAGGCATGCCCTTGGCTAGCACCAGGTACCTGCACAGGGCACACGCAAGGCATAAGAGAGGCACGGGAGAAGCAGGTCTTCAAGAAACCAGTGTGTCGCTCACAGGCATGCCCCTGGCTAGCACCAGGTACCTGCCACGCACGTTACAGTGCACGGGACACAACGTGGCAACAACACGTTGGAAGCAAGAGCAGCAATTGAGGATGAGAGCGAGAGAGTGAGTGAACGAGAGAGAGTGAGTGAGTGAGTGAGGCATCGCCACAGCAGAGGCAGGTGCGGCGGAGAGAGAGTGAGAGGACCATTCGAAAGGACTGAGGACCCACCCTAGGGCGATGAGGGGGAAGAGGCGGGCAGCTGAGGGGCAGCGCAGCAGCACCCTGTGGCCCATGGCTGCCAGCGCTGCCACCACGCGCACTGCCTGTGGTAGCATGGCTGCCTGCACGGTGGGAGGCGGGAGGGATTGGGCTTGCACATGAGGGTGTGTGTGGTACGGCAAAGGATCATGTTCGCACGTAAGGAGGGGCAGCGCAGCAGCATGGAGAGGCCCATGGCTGCCAGTGCTGCCACCACGCGCACTGCCTGTGGTAGCATGGCTGCCTGCACGGCGAGAAAGGGGCATGGCATGGAAGAGAGATGGGTTCGAGGGGACGGGAGCCGTGTGGCATGTGAGCGCGAATGCGGCAAGGGTACTTGATACTAACCCCCATCGTCACCCAACGAGAGTTTCACCTGCCAAGCCATGACTCTCTCACCTCCCACCTCTCATACGCTCCCACCACATGCCAAGCTGCTGGCACAGGCAGCTCATGCCACTTCCCTCTTCCTCACCAAGCACCCCAAAATATCCCATCTCTTCACGAGTACCATCCAACCATGATGCCACCCTCACAGCCACCTCCCCTCGTCCCACCCACCTGCTCCGCGGAGTCGGTTTCGCGAATGGGCACCCACACGGCCACCAGCCCCGCGTCCTGCAGCGCCCGCTTCTCCTCCTCCCACCCCGTGCCCCGCGCGCCATAGCTCCCCTCCTCCTGCACCGCGCACGCGCGCACACACACACAGCCACGATCACGCGAACATCAACCAGCGAACTACATTGACGTTAGCTGCCACTGCTACTGCTCACGCTACTGCGCACCTCGAGAACGACGACGGCGGTGATGCGCGCGTCCCTCGCGAGCGCGGCCACGGCGGCGGCGCTGCTGCTGACGGCCAGCGACCCCACCGCCACCTCCTCCGTCACCGCCGCCCACGCCGACGCGGGTAACGCGCTCCCTGCAGTTCATTCGTACCAGGAACATGAAACACGCGGGCGTTTAGGTTACGGCACGAGTAGCACGCGGCGCACAAGAAACTGGGAGCGTTCCGTCGAACAATCTTCGAAGCTCGATGCTTTCTATTTTATTTTCCGTTTTCTGCATGATTTCGAACGGAGATTGCACCTAACCCGAACGTTGCGTTGAGCTGTGTGCCTGCGCGCTTACTCGGTTGCGCGTCGCGGACTGCGCCGTTTGCGACGTCGGCGGAGACGGCGGAACCGACGGCGATCACCTGCGAGGTCCATCGACGTAACGGCTCAGATACACTTTCAGACCGACGCGCAACCGAATGCATTTGAAAAAAATGATTGCAGCACCTAAAATCATTCTCTAGAACAAAAAATGCCTGTTGCGAGTGAGGCCATTATCATTCAGTGGGGTATTACCTGGAGCCTGGTGCTGCTAGCGGGCGTTCTTCTGAAGGGAGGGCGGGAAGGCAGGGGAAGCGAACGAGGAGACTTGAAATTTGTGCAACGAGTGGGTGGAGCTTGAATTTTGAGCGAGCAGGTAAGGAATGGCAGTCAAGCTTTTAACGCTTGAATGGATTGCAAAGAGTGCTGGATGGTACTGCACACAGGCGGCGAGTGCTTGCTTGCGGGAGGGCTGCACACCTGGTAGTGAGCCGCCGACGGGTCAGCGCGGGGAATACGCTCCGCCTGGCGGAATGCGACGGCCGCGGCGCTTTCGCTAGGGACTGCGCTACCGCTGGAACCGCGCTGCCTCGTATTGGCTCCGACGGACGGGCTAACGAACTATACCGCGATGGCTGCGGGTGCATATTGTCGGTCGGTATGTGAGGAGAGGAAAGTCCTTGCCGTAGGACACCCGCCATTGTGAGGAAACTGTAAATGCGCACCGATAAAGCCGAGACTTAGGCAGCTAGGAGAAGCACACACGTGAAGCTTCTTTCTCCGCTAGCTGATCAAGCTTAGCCTCGGACTAATCAGATGCGAATCCTCCCCACGGCAGCTCCCACCTGATTGTTGTAGACTCTTGGAAACGTCCCAGACGCAACCCAAACAGAAGCACTTCATCTTGAGTGCCTGACCGACTCACACAACGAGTTTTGTGCCACACAATTCAACCATTCACGCCCACGATGCTGGAGAGCCGAGCTCAATGGCGGGAACAATCCCTAGGGCTTGAAGGTCAGCCCTGTGCGTCCTGGTGCGTCGTGCTTCCGCTGCGTTACTCTTGTGTGTCGCGACTGTCGCTCCCGCTTCGTTCTGGTGAAGGTGCAATTCGCACAAACTTCGTGACAAAATTCCTTTTCGCAATCCACAACATTCCTAGTGCCCGATGTGCCAATGGGGAATTGTGCGGCGGAGGCTCCAGATACCCTTGATTTCGCTTTCGCCATTCTGTGATTTGCTCTGGCTGAACGAAGTGATGCGAAAGAAGCTTAGGTGGTGGGCGATTGCTGTGAGCTGTCCTCTGTATCAGCTAATTGTGTGGCTCGGTACGTGGATGACATGCCACGTGTACCGAAAAGGTGAAGATCCTGTGAACTGGGAAAGAAGGCCGTTGGCGAGAGGTTACCCGTCGGGGCACACGAAGAAAGCGAGAGAAACATGATCTGGGACTGAGAACTTCTGGCGCGCGGATTCGGTCCCTCCCTTCCCGCCCCTCACCTTCAATATTCACCCAGGTTGGCATCACATATTCCCCCCTAGCCCACTTTTCAGGCAAGATTAATCCCCCAGTTCGTTTGAATCTTCCTCGGTCTTGGGTCTTGACCTGACACACTTCCGCTCCGGCTTGTTCCTGCCAACGTTGCTGGTGCTGTCCGGTGATACTTAATCGCCATTATTTCTGTGGATCGTAGGCGGCATTCTTATCGGCACGTTGTTTCCCGCGTTCAGGACGCCATGGCGCAGCTCATGCGTCCAGCGTCAATGTCACGCGCGTGCGTGTCAGATCTATCCTGCAGAAACTTGGAAGCGAGATTAGAGCCGAGCGCTGCTGCCATTAGAGGACATGAACCGTACGGCTCGTTTACTCGACCTCGTACTTTCCGGTTCCCCACTCCGGTCGCCAGAAGAGCGTTGTCCGTCAGAAGTGCCGCGGATTCAAGGTAGTGGTGAATTTAATATAGGGTTTTGCCTTCTGGTTTATTTGGTCAACCAGCTTTGCAGACCTAGATCTGCTACGGTCGGACCGCTTTGACAGCGATTACGAAACCGCATTCCTCATCAGTCATTCATTATCATTTGATTTTCTGGATGCGCTCCCTTTTTGTCCATTTCTCCCGGTTTCTCTCCCACGCAGCCAGTCGGCCAATGAACTGGATGGAGTCAAGGTAAGGATCTGCTGTTCAATGCAATCTAGTAGCGTCGCATTGTTGATCCCGTGCAACACCGCTTACGTCCACCCAATACATGTCCGGTTAATAGTCGCCTAACAATGTGTAACCACTTCGCAGGTATCGCTGAACGCGTCAGGGAAGGCTTCAGGCGGCGACATGATGAAGCTCTTTAACGACGCTCAACAGAGTAGGTCTCACACCAACAGATCGCCCTGCTGTTAAGTAAATCGTGACCGTTGAATTCGTTAACGCGCTCCGCGCGGCTCTGACGTCAGTGATAATGTCCGTATCTCATGCTGCTCCTGATAGCCAGTGCAGTGTGTGCTGTTCCAGCTTCGCTCCAACTTACCAAATCTTTCGGATCAATGCTTCCGTCAACGTGCATTCGCCTCCTCCTCTCCCTCATGCCCATCCCCCCTCCCAACGCATGCTGCACCTCATCACCATCCCGCCCCACCCCCCAGACATGCTGTACCTGAACATGCAGCACAACATAGCTTTTGAAACGTCCCCCCCCCCCTTCCCATCCTCGTCTCCATTCCCCCCTTTCCGCCCGTCCCCTTCTCCTTCCCCCCCAGACATGCTGTACCTGAAGAAATAGCGCCTCATTGCGCTGGAGTCGTCTCAGATTCGTCCGTTCGCTTCCTCCCCTCCGCCGTCCCCGTTTTCCCCCACACGCTCCCCCCACCCCCCCTCCCCCCCCCCCCTCCCCCCAGACATGCTGTACCTGAACAAGCAGCGCCTGATCGCGCTGGACGAGCTGCACAAGGCGGAGGCGGAGCGCGAGTACCTGGCGGCGCGCGTGGCGCAGCTGCAGGCGGAGGCGGAGGCGGGAGAGGCGCAGCGCAAGCTGCTGGAGGAGCGCCTCAGAGCCGCGGATCTGGGCGTCGCCGCAGGTGAGGGCTGGGAAGGCCGGGGTCTGCGCTGATCGGGCAAACCTTCGAGTGGAATCTCGAGGGAGAGTCTGCGCACAAGGGTAGAGCCGAGGGTTCTGCTGGCGGAGAGGCTAAGGGCAGCGCGCGTAGGGATCGGCGCACAGGTGAAGCGTTGTGAAGCGTTGAAAGGTAGCGAGGCGTGCCGCTCCTATCTTTTGCCTCACCCCTTATCCTGCAACCCCCTCCCCTCCCAACGCCCACACCCCCACCCTCACCCCCACCCAACCCCTAACCTCTTGCTGCCTGCAGCACCCAGCAGCAGCCCCACCCGTTCGGCAGCGAGCAGCAAGGCGAGCAGCAAGGCGGGCAGCAGGGCGGGGGAGCCGGCGTCCGTGTGGAGTCGCCTGCTGCTGCGCGTGGACGGGCTGCTGCTCGCCAAGGCGCTCTCCGCCGCGCAGGCGCAGGCTTTAAGAGGGCTCGCTGCCTCTAGGGATGCCCGCGCTGCTGACGTGTACGCTGACGTGGAGCCGCTGGAGGACGCGCAGGTGGTGCGCGCGCTGCTGCGACTGATTGATGGCAGCAACAGGTGCGCGGGGGGAGGGGGGGGTAGGGATAAGGGGAGGTTGGGGGAGATGGAAGGAAAAAGGGTGGGGGGGGGGGGAGGGGAGTGTTGAAGGGAAGGGGAGGAGGTGAGGGATAAGGGAAGGGGTGAGGGGAAAGAAGGGGGTTAGGGAAAGGGATGGGAATGAGGGGAGTTGAAGTAGGTTCGAAATGGAGAGGGAAGGCAACGGTGGTGCTGCTGCTGGTGGAAACGCCCACACGCAATGACTCCCTATTCCTCTTCATGCCAACATAAACCCCCTCCCGTCCGCCTTCCCTCCCCTCCCCTGCACAGGACACTGCACAGGACACTGCACGTGGTGCACGTGTGCATGGAGCTCGCCCCAGCGGCCCACGCTACCTCAATTTCGACCTCTCTTCATTTACCCCTCCCTCCCCTTCCCATGTGCGCCCCTCCCCTCGCCCCCCTCCCTTCCCAAACGCACAGGACACTGCACGTGGTGCATGTGTGCACGGAGCTCGCGCCAGTGGCCCAGGCGGGGTCCCTAGCCACGTGGATGGCGGGGCTGTGCCGCGCTCTCCGCAAGAAGGGGCACCTGGTGGAGGTCGTTCTGCCGCTGTAAGCTGCGTGTGCTGAGCGTCTTGTCTTATTCTTTGTTGAATGCGGCAACCTGCTGTGCCGTTTTTATCCTGTTCTGCCACCACTCACTAGGTCACCCGCTGCTCCCCATTCGTCTCCCCTGCTTGCTAGCAACCCCGCATCCATCTCCCTGTGCACCCTGCACTCCATACATCTCACTTGCCATTGCATCGTTCAGCGAGGTGCGAGGAAGTGTGCTGAAAATCACCCCCCCCTCTCGCCCCACACACTCACGCCATATCCGCCCGCCCTGCTACCGTGCAGGTACTCAAGCGTGGACTCGAGGGCTTCAAAAAGGCGTTAGGAGTGCTAACCGACAAGTGCTAATTCAACCCCCCCCCCCCCCCCCCTCCCCCCCCGCCCCCACCTTTTCCCCCCCACACTCATGCGTATCTCTGCCCGCCCTGCTACCCGGCGGCAGGTACTCGAGTGTGGACACGAGTGCCATTGAGGACTTCAGAGAGGCGCCCGGCGAGATCATGTCGTTCTTCGATAACAAGTGGCACAAGAATAAGATCTACACTGGGTGGGTGGCACAGTCGTGGCTGCCAGTTGTGGCTGACAGTGTGTGCCCCCATCAGTTCCCCCCATCAGTTCCCCCCATCAGTTCCCCCCATCAGTTCCGCCCATCAGTTCCCCCATCAGTTCCCCCCATCAGTTCCGCCCATCAGTTCCGCCCATCAGTTCCCCCCATCAGTTCCCCCCATCAGTTCCGCCCATCAGTTCCCCCCATCAGTTCCCCCCATCAGTTCCCCCCATCAGTTCCGCCCATCAGTTCCCCCCATCAGTTCCCCCATCAGTTCCGCCCATCAGTTCCCCCCATCAGTTCCGCCCATCAGTTCCGCCCATCAGTTCCCCCCATCAGATCCCCCCATCAGTTCCCCATCAGTTCCCCCCATCAGTTCCCCATCAGTTCCCCCCATCAGTTCCCCCCATCAGTTCCGCCCATCAGTTCCCCCCATCAGTTCCCCCATCAGTTCCGCCCATCAGTTCCCCCCATCAGTTCCCCCCATCAGTTCCGCCGCCCATCAGTTCCCCCCATCAGTTCCCCCCATCAGTTCCCCCCATCAGTTCCCCCCATTAGTTCCGCCGCCCATCAGTTTCGCCCATCAGCTCCCCCCATCAGTTCCCCCATCAGTTCCGCCCATCAGTTCCGCCCATCAGTTCCCCCATCAGTTCCCTCCATCAGTTCCGCCCATCAGTTCCGCCCATCAGTTCCCCCCATCAGTTCCGCCCATCAGTTCCCCCCATCAGTTCCCCCCATCAGTTCCGCCGCCCATCAGTTTCGCCCATCAGCTCCCCCCATCAGTTCCCCCATCAGTTCCGCCCATCAGTTCCGCCCATCAGTTCCCCCATCAGTTCCCCCCATCAGTTCCCCCCATCAGTTCCGCCCATCAGTTCCCCCCATCAGTTCCGCCCATCAGTTCCCCCCATCAGTTCCCCCCATCAGTTCCCCCCATCAGTTCCGCCGCCCATCAGTTCCCCCCATCAGTTCCCCCCATCAGTTCCCCCCATCAGTTCCCCCCATCAGTTCCGCCCATCAGTTCCCCCCATCAGTTCCGCCCATCAGTTCCCCCCATCAGTTCCCCCCATCAGTTCCGCCCATCAGTTCCCCCCATCAGTTCCCCCCATCAGTTCCCCCCATCAGTTCCCCCCATCGGTTCCGCCCATCAGTTCCGCCCATCAGTTCCCCCCATCAGTTCCCCCCATCAGTTCCCCCCATCAGTTCCCCCCATCAGTTCCCCCCATCAGTTCCCCCATCAGTTCCCCCCATCAGTTCCCCCCATCAGTTCCGCCCATCAGTTCCCCCCATCAGTTCCCCCATCAGTTCCGCCCATCAGTTCCCCCCATCAGTTCCGCCCATCAGTTCCGCCCATCAGTTCCCCCCATCAGATCCCCCCATCAGTTCCCCATCAGTTCCCCCCATCAGTTCCCCCCATCAGTTCCGCCCATCAGTTCCCCATCAGTTCCCCCCATCAGTTCCCCCCATCAGTTCCGCCCATCAGTTCCCCCATCAGTTCCGCCCATCAGTTCCGCCCATCAGTTCCCCCATCAGTTCCCCCCATCAGTTCCCCCCATCAGTTCCGCCCATCAGTTCCCCCCATCAGTTCCCCCATCAGTTCCGCCCATCAGTTCCCCCCATCAGTTCCCCCCATCAGTTCCGCCGCCCATCAGTTCCCCCCATCAGTTCCCCCCATCAGTTCCCCCCATCAGTTCCCCCCATTAGTTCCGCCGCCCATCAGTTTCGCCCATCAGCTCCCCCCATCAGTTCCCCCATCAGTTCCGCCCATCAGTTCCGCCCATCAGTTCCCCCATCAGTTCCCCCCATCAGTTCCCTCCATCAGTTCCGCCCATCAGTTCCGCCCATCAGTTCCCCCCATCAGTTCCGCCCATCAGTTCCCCCCATCAGTTCCCCCCATCAGTTCCGCCGCCCATCAGTTTCGCCCATCAGCTCCCCCCATCAGTTCCCCCATCAGTTCCGCCCATCAGTTCCGCCCATCAGTTCCCCCATCAGTTCCCCCCATCAGTTCCCCCCATCAGTTCCGCCCATCAGTTCCCCCCATCAGTTCCGCCCATCAGTTCCCCCCATCAGTTCCCCCCATCAGTTCCCCCCATCAGTTCCGCCGCCCATCAGTTCCCCCCATCAGTTCCCCCCATCAGTTCCCCCCATCAGTTCCCCCCATCAGTTCCGCCCATCAGTTCCCCCCATCAGTTCCGCCCATCAGTTCCCCCCATCAGTTCCCCCCATCAGTTCCGCCCATCAGTTCCCCCCATCAGTTCCCCCCATCAGTTCCCCCCATCAGTTCCCCCCATCGGTTCCGCCCATCAGTTCCGCCCATCAGTTCCCCCCATCAGTTCCCCCCATCAGTTCCCCCCATCAGTTCCCCCCATCAGTTCCCCCCATCAGTTCCCCCATCAGTTCCCCCCATCAGTTCCCCCCATCAGTTCCGCCCATCAGTTCCCCCCATCAGTTCCCCCATCAGTTCCGCCCATCAGTTCCCCCCATCAGTTCCGCCCATCAGTTCCGCCCATCAGTTCCCCCCATCAGATCCCCCCATCAGTTCCCCATCAGTTCCCCCCATCAGTTCCCCCCATCAGTTCCGCCCATCAGTTCCCCATCAGTTCCCCCCATCAGTTCCCCCCATCAGTTCCGCCCATCAGTTCCCCCATCAGTTCCGCCCATCAGTTCCGCCCATCAGTTCCCCCATCAGTTCCCCCCATCAGTTCCCCCCATCAGTTCCGCCCATCAGTTCCCCCCATCAGTTCCGCCCATCAGTTCCCCCCATCAGTTCCCCCCATCAGTTCCCCCCATCAGTTCCGCCGCCCATCAGTTCCCCCCATCAGTTCCCCCCATCAGTTCCCCCCATCAGTTCCCCCCATCAGTTCCGCCCATCAGTTCCCCCCATCAGTTCCGCCCATCAGTTCCCCCCATCAGTTCCCCCCATCAGTTCCGCCCATCAGTTCCCCCCATCAGTTCCCCCCATCAGTTCCCCCCATCAGTTCCGCCCATCAGTTCCCCCCATCAGTTCCCCCCATCAGTTCCGCCCATCAGTTCCCCCCATCAGTTCCCCCCATCAGTTCCCCCCATCAGTTCCCCCCATCGGTTCCGCCCATCAGTTCCCCCCATCAGTTCCCCCCATCAGTTCCCTCCATCAGTTCCCCCCATCAGTTCCCCCCATCAGTTCCCCCATCAGTTCCCCCCATCAGTTCCCCCCATCAGTTCCCCCCATCAGTTCCCCCCATCAGTTCCCCCCATCAGTTCCCCCCATCAGTTCCCCCCATCATTTCCGCCCATCAGTTCCCCCCATCAGATCCCCCCATCAGTTCCCCCCATCAGTTCCGCCCATCAGTTCCCCCCATCAGTTCCCCCCATCAGTTCCCCCCATCAGTTCCCCCCATCAGTTCCGCCCATCATTTCCGCCCATCAGTTCCCCCCATCAGTTCCCCCCATCAGTTCCCCCCATCAGTTCCCCCCATCAGTTCCCCCCATCAGTTCCCCCCATCAGTTCCCCCCATCAGTTCCCCCATCAGTTCCCCCCATCAGTTCCCCCCATCAGTTCCCCCCATCAGTTCCGCCCATCAGTTCCCCCCATCAGTTCCCCCCATCAGTGTGTGCTGGCAGGGTGTGCTGGCAGTGTGTGCTGGCAGTGTGTGCTGGCAGTGTGTGCTGGCAGTGTGTGCTGGCAGTGTGTGCTGGCAGGGTGTGCTGGCAGTGAGTGCTGGCATCAAGGTATCCAGATGAAGCCGGTGTTAGTCCATGTGTGCTTGCAGTGTTAGCATTGCCTGCACCTGCTGCTGTGTTATGCTTTTCTAACACTTCTCCCTGTATTGCGACACTGCTTGTGTGCCTGCCCGCCTGCCTGCCTGCCCCTCTGCTTGCATGCCTGCTCCCCCCTCTCCTCACAGCACGGTGCATGGGCTGCCAGTGACGTTCATCCACCCGCTGCACCCAGCGGCCTTCTTCCAGAGGGACCATCTCTACGACTACGAGGACGACTTTGAGCGGTGAGCCATGCCTGCACCACACAAACGAGAAGCATTGAGGGTTAGCCTTGAGCAGTAAAGACTGCACCAGACAAACCCCACGACATTGAGGCTTTTCACATGATCTCCGATCTCCCCTCCCCTCCACTCCCCTCCAGCTTCACCTGCTTCACGCAGGCAGCGCTGGAGTACGTGCAGCAGCAGGGCAAGCATCAGCAGCTTGCTCACAAACACTGACTGAGCTCCGTGTCCCATAATCCCTCCTCCCCTCTCCCCCCTCCCCTCCACCTCCCCCCCTCCCTGTTCTCCCCACCCCACCCCAGCTTCACCTACTTCACGCGGGCAGCGCTGGAGTACGTGCAGCAGCAGGGCAAGCAGCCGGACGTGCTGCACCTGCACAACTGGCACACGGCGGTGGGCGCACCGCTGTTCTGGGACATCTACCACCACCAGGGCATGCCCGACACCCGCATCCTCTTCACCTGCCATGACGCCCGCTTCCAGGTATTGCCTGGTTGCAGGTATGATCTGCTTCCAGGTATCTCTGTCTTCCAGGTACCACCCGCTTCCAGGTACCACCTGCTTCCAGGTAGCACCCGGTTGCAGGTAGCACCCGCTTGCAGGCATTGCCTGCTGCAATGCACTGCAGCGCGCCACTGCTCCTTGCTGCACGCACAAGGTTGCTTTGCTGCCTCGCCTACACGAGGAAGCCATTCCGTGCCCCCCCTTCTTGCAGCTAAAGGCACAGCTCGCAGCCAGCTGTCCCCCCTGGTGCTTCACGCCTTGCAGTTGACCGCCTTGCTTCTTGCTTTCACTGCCCACCTCCCCCAACCCCCACTCCCCACCTCCTCACACCCCCAGCCCCCTGCCATCCCCCCTGTGCTCGCTCTCCCTCACCGCCCACAGAACGCCCAGCCGGCGCAGGTGGGGCTGGACCCGTCGCAGCTGAACCGCCTTGCCTCTTGCTCTCTCACCTCACCTCCTCACACCGGCCAATGCCCTACAATCCCCCCTGTGCTCTCCCTCACCCTCCACAGAACGCCCAGCCGGCGGGCAAGCTGGCGCAGGTGGGGCTGGACCCGTCGCAGCTGAACCGCCCTGACCGACTGCAGGACAACCGCGACCCCGCCCTCGTCAACCTGCTCAAGGTGCGCCCTGCTCAAGGTGCGCCCTGCTCAAGGTGCGCCCTGCTCAAGGTGCGCCCTGCTCCTCGCACATGCCTCTCACCCGTGACTGACCATCCTGTCCTCGTGTGTTCCAACAAGCTCACCACAATGTCACCTTATAGGATGACTCAGAAGTTACCTCTGCTCCTCTCTCCCCTTCCCTCTGTCCCCGCACCACAGGGTGGCATCGTGTATTCCAACAAGGTCACAACAGTCTCGCCCACGTATGCCAGTGACATGAAGACACGCGAGCATGGATGCAGCCTCGATGGCACCGTCTCCATCCACAGGTGAGAGGTGCTTTGCCCCGCCAGCACCACCCTTTGAATATCTCGCCTCTCCATGCAATCCCCCTTGTCAATTTTTTGGCCACAAATCGTCAGCCCACCTGCACACGTGTGTCTGCCATGCAAGCAGCCAGGAGTTTCTCGCCTAATCTCTGGCCCCTCAACCATTTTGCCGGAACTCCATTACAGAGCCCTCAAAGCAATTGTGCTGTTCCTGCTTCCCCTTCCGTCCATCCCAATCAACCCATTCAAACATCCAATTCCCCAACCTGCAGCCAGAAGTTCGCTGGCCTGCCCTCCGGTCTCGACCAATCCGTATGGGACCCGACCCGGGACCTCGCACTTCCCGTGCCACTCGCAGCCTCGGATCCCATGCCTGGCAAGGCAGTGGCTCGGGCGGAGGTTCGGAAGAGGCTCGGGCTGCCAGTGATAGACTCGGCATCGGGGTTGGAGAGGGCAGTGGTGGCGTATGTGTCACCGCAGATAGGCGAGGCGGATGTGGAACTCATTAAGGGAGCACTTGCATGCTCCCTCGCCTACCAGGCCCAGGTGCGTCAGGGGGGTTTCACATGCCGAGGTTGGTCATGACGGTTTCCCTTTCTTCTTCCCTTGCCCTGTCTTGTACTGCCCTCCGTCCGCTACTTTCTGTCTCCTCTCGTCTCGGCAGATCTCTCACTCGCCCATCTCTCCACCTTCCCTCTCCCCACCCCTCTGTGCAGTTTGTGCTGGTGGGGGCAGCACGGTCGTCCAAGGTGCAGATGGCCCTCGAGGAACTGCAGAGGGTGCAGCAGGTGAGGCGATGGGTGCGAGCGGTGCAGCAGGTGAGGTGGTGGGTGCAGAGGGTGCAGCAGGTGAGGCGATGGGTGCAGATCGGTGCAGCAGGTGAGGCGATGGGTCCAGACGGTGCAGCAGGTGATGGGTGCAAAGGAGAGCTAGGAAAAATGTACATGCTTTGAGAGGGGGCACAGGGAGTGCTGCAAAGCATTGAGCAGGGTGGTGCATGCGTCAAGCAGGTGTGCTGGGAGGTGTGTCAGTCTGTGCCGTCTCTCTCTCCCCCTCGCTGCCTGCCAACCAGCGGGACCGTGATTCACGCCTGTAGATTGTGTGCAAGGAGAGGACCCCCTCGCACTTCTGGATGACCTGAGTCGACTCAAATCTCTCTCTATCTCCCCCCACCAACCACCCATCAGGACCGCAATGCACACCTGGAGATCGTGTACGATGATGATTTGGCACATCTGGTGGTGGCGGCGGCACACGTGCTACTCTGCCCGCCCCTCCGCGACCCCTCCTCACACTTGCCGGTCAGTGCCCTCCTGGATGCCTTTCAGTGCCCTCACGCGCACCTTTCAGTGCAAGCTTGGATTGCCGCAAGGATGCTTTCTCTAACAGCCTAACAGCCTTACAGCCTAACTGCCTAACAGCACAACAGCGTAACAGCCTAACAGCCTAACAGCCCAACAGCGTAACAGCCTAATAGCGTAACAGCCTAACAGCCTAACAGCGTAGCAGCCTAACTGCCTAACAGCGTAAACGCGTAACAGCCTAACAGCCTAACAGCGTAACAGCGTAACAGCCTAACAGCCTAACAGCCTAACAGCGTAACAGCCTAACAGCCTTACAGCCTTACAGCCTAACAGCCTAACAGCCTAACAGCCTAACAGCGTAACAGCGTAACAGCGTAATAACCTAACAGCCTAACAGCCTAACAGCCTAACAGCCTAACAGCCTAACAGCCTAACAGCCTATCAGCCTAACAGCGTAACAGCGTAACAACGTAACAGCGTCAACGTAACAGGCTAACAGCCTAACAGCGTAACAGCGTAACAGCGTAACAGCCTAACAGCCTAACAGCCTAACAGCCTAACAGCCTAACAGCCTAACAGCCTAACAACGTAACAGCCTCACAGCCTTACAGCCTAACAGCCTAACAGCCTAACAGCGTAACAGCGTAACAGCGTAACAATGTAACAGCCTAACAGCCTAACAGCCTAACAGCCTAACAGCCTAACAGCCTAACAGCCTAACAGCCTAGCAGCCTAACAGCCTAACAGCCTAACAGCCTAACAGCCTAACAGCGTGACAGCGTGACAGCGTGACAGGGTGACAGCGTGACAGCGTGACAGCGTGACAGCGTGACAGCGTGACAGCGTGACAGCGTGACAGCGTGACAGCGTGACAGCGTGACAGCGTGACAGCGTGACAGCGTGACAGCGTGACAGCGTGACAGCGTGACAGCATGACAGCGTGACAGCGTGACAGCGTGACAGCGTGACAGCGTGACAGCGTGACAGCGTGACAGCGTGACAGCGTGACAGCGTGACAGCGTGACAGCGTGACAGCGTGACAGCGTGACAGCGTAACAGCCTATCACCCTAACAGCGTAACAGCCTGACAGCCTAACAGCCTGACAGCCTAACAGCGTAACAGCCTAACAGCGAAACAACCAAACAGCGCAACAACGTAACAGCCTGACAGCGTAACATCGTAGCAGCGTAACAGCGTAACAGCCTAACAACGTAACCGCCTAACAGCCTAACAGCGTAACAGCCTGACAGCGTAACAGCCTAACAGCGTAACAGCGTAACAGCCTAATAGCGTTACAGCCTAACAGCGTAACAGCCTAACAGGGTAACAGCGTAATAGCGTAACAGCCTAACAGCTTAACAGCGTAACAGCCTAACAGCGTAACAGCCTAACAACGTAACAGCCTAACAGCCTAACAGCCTAACATCGTAACAGCCTAACAGCCTAACAGTGTAACAGCCTAACAGCCTAACAGCGTAACAGCCTAACAGCGTAATAGCCTAACAGGGTAACAGCATAACAGCCTAACAGCGTACAGCCTAAAAGCCTAACAGCGTAACAGCCTAACAGCGTAATAGCCTTACAGCCTTACAGCGTAACAGCGTAACAGCCTAACAGCGTAACAGCCTAACAGCGTAACAGTCTAACAGCGTAACAGCGTAACAGCCTAACAGCGTAACAGCCTAACAGCCTAACAGCGTAACAGCCTAAAAGTGTAACAGCGTAACAGCCTAACAGCCTAACAGCGTAACAGCCTAACAGCCTAACAGCGTAACAGCCTAACAGCGTAACAGCCTAACAGCCTAACAGCCTAACAACGTAACAGCCTCACAGCCTTACAGCCTAACAGCCTAACAGCCTAACAGCCTAACAGCGTAACAGCGTAACAGCGTAACAATGTAACAGCCTAACAGCCTAACAGCCTAACAGCCTAACAGCCTAACAGCCTAACAGCCTAACAGCCTAGCAGCCTAACAGCCTAACAGCCTAACAGCCTAACAGCGTGACAGCGTGACAGCGTGACAGCGTGACAGCGTGACAGCGTGACAGCGTGACAGCGTGACAGCGTGACAGCGTGACAGCGTGACAGCGTGACAGCGTGACAGCGTGACAGCGTGACAGCGTGACAGCGTGACAGCGTGACAGCGTGACAGCGTGACAGCGTGACAGCGTGACAGCGTAACAGCCTATCACCCTAACAGCGTAACAGCCTGACAGCCTAACAGCCTGACAGCCTAACAGCGTAACAGCCTAACAGCGAAACAACCAAACAGCGTAACAACGTAACAGCCTGACAGCGTAACATCGTAACAGCGTAACAGCGTAACAGCCTAACAACGTAACCGCCTAACAGCCTAACAGCGTAACAGCCTGACAGCGTAACAGCCTAACAGCGTAACAGCGTAACAGCCTAATAGCGTTACAGCCTAACAGCGTAACAGCCTAACAGGGTAACAGCGTAATAGCATAACAGCCTAACAGCTTAACAGCGTAACAGCCTAACAGCGTAACAGCCTAACAACGTAACAGCCTAACAGCCTAACAGCCTAACATCGTAACAGCCTAACAGCCTAACAGTGTAACAGCCTAACAGCCTAACAGCCTAACAGCCTAACAGCGTAATAGCCTAACAGGGTAACAGCATAACAGCCTAACAGCGTACAGCCTAAAAGCCTAACAGCGTAACAGCCTAACAGCGTAATAGCCTTACAGCCTTACAGCGTAACAGCGTAACAGCCTAACAGCGTAACAGCCTAACAGCGTAACAGTCTAACAGCGTAACAGCGTAACAGCCTAACAGCGTAACAGCCTAACAGCCTAACAGCGTAACAGCCTAAAAGTGTAACAGCGTAACAGCCTAACAGCCTAACAGCGTAACAGCCTAACAGCCTAACAGCGTAACAGCCTAACAGCGTAACAGCCTAACAGCCTAACAGCGTAACAGCCTAACAGTGTAACAGCGTAACACCCTAGCAACGTAACAGCATGCGCCCCTGCGACCCCCAGCTGGATCATCTCGGATAATCTTGTTAGAAGGAGCAGGGCAGGAGAGGAGGAAAGGTGACTTGCTTGAAGAGAGCCGCCTTCCCCCACCACCCTCACTGCTGGATCATCTCGGATTACCTGCTTGGGTGGAGCGGGGGGAGTGGGGGAATTGGAGGAGGTAAATTGAAGCAAGCTGCCTTCCTCACCACCCTCAGCATGCGCCCCTGCAACCCCCAATGCTATATCATCTCAGATAACCTGCTTTGGTGGCGTGGTGGTGGTGCGATTTGCCTGCCGCGTGCCATGCTTGTTGCATTCTCGATTCTCCCCATCCCACTCACCCTCCGTTCCTCCCCATACCCGTGTTTTGCACCGCAGCTGGTGGGGGCACGCTACGGGGCTGTGCCTGTGGCCCGCCAACTGATGGGATCACCTGACAGGTTAGTCACACCAGCATGGACCGTACAGCTGGCAGAGCAGATTCGCGCAGATTACACAGCTGGCTGGGCGCATACACTTGGATTATACAACTGAGACTGGCGGCCGACTTGTTGGAATATCTTCCAATCTTGTCGATGCGTAAGAGGTTCCAATCTCTATGCTCCGTTGCAAAATGCCTTGCCCTGTCCCTCGCCGCCCTTCCCCCTCGCTCTGCCTTGTTATGCTGGTGGACTTTCGTTCTCTGACCAGTGGACGTCAAATCAGCATGTTGCAAATCTCCCTCCCACTCCCTCCCACCAGCCTAGTGGACGTGGACGACCCTCGCCATGATATGCCAGTTCGTACCCAGTGTACATCAAATCATCATGTCTCTTCCCTCGTCCCCCCTTCTTTCCCCTCCCCCCACCCCTCTCACACCAGCCTAGTGGACGTGGATGACCCGCGCCGCGGTGCCTCAGAGGGAGCGGGTTTCTTCTACGTCTCCGACAAGCCGGCTGACGCTGTCACCTCGCTCACCCGCGCCCTCAAGCTCCTCGTGAGTGCTGCTGCCAGGTGGCAAGTGACATTGCTCTTTGACTTGCAGCTGTGCCTTGATTTATACATCATCGTTGCATGCTTGATAGCAGATCAGCTTACCGCTCATGTTCATTTGTGCACTTGTCCCTTGTTGTGACTGCTGTCATCGTGTTGTGCAGAAGGCCGATTCGCAACGGTGGGAAGCAATCACCAAGACAGCAATGTCAGTGGATACCAGCTGGGATGCCTGTAGCTCTGATGCATATGTGGATGCGTATTTGTCCATCAGGCGATGCTAGCGAGATTGTATTATGAGATAAGAGGTGTGTCAGCCTGGTGGTAGAAGAGTCAACCTAGGAGGGCCAGTTAGGGATGTGATTCCTGGTTTGCTGCTGCTTTGCAAGCATGGCATTGCATGTGTAGTATAGTCCTATCTTTAGGTGTGAAACATTGATTATCTGCTCGTGTGTGAAGCTGACAGAAGGCATCTACTGTGTTATATTCTCTCTCAAGTCATACTGCTTATGTCGCGGCACTACGCCCGCTCTGACAAATCTTGAATCATCAGAGCTGGCGGAGTTTTATGTCAGCTGATCAGTCTACGTTGGAGTCGCGTTGCCATTTACTAGTCGTCTAGCACACACGAGACCCAACAGAGTAAGCGTCGTGTTCCCGGGTTCCCACGCAGTTGGCAAAAAAAACAGCTTGGTCACTCATTCGGTATAATAGCCGTCGTGGCGCCTCTGCTGCTATGGTATGGACTGGTCGCCGCAACTGCCGGTCGCCACTTCCTCGTGTTTTTGCCCTAATTTCTGATCCACTCCACACGCCATTCGTGTCAATACTGCTGCTTCCGCGCAGATCCGGTTCATTCTCCTTCAGAATCGGCAGGGAAAGACGCGCCTGGCCAAGTACTATGTTCCGCTAGAGGACTCCGAGAAACACAAGCTAGAATTCGAGGTACGCCAGATTCAAACCATACCGTTCGGACGATACGGTACGTTACTGACGGGATGGATAGGCTGGAACGGACGGGTGGACTTCGAGCGTCGCGTTATGACGGGTCTATCTGCACAGTAGAACGAGAGCACCATTGCCATGTGACACTTCACCCTTGACCTTCCTGATTCACCTTCAGCTCGTTCCTCCCTCCTCCTTCCCCTGCACGTGCTATTCCCACCCTACCCGCGCGTCTTCCCTGCGTCAGGTTCACCGGCTGGTGGTCCATCGCGAACCTAAATTCACAAACTTTGTAGAGGTATGCCTACTGCTGCTCAGCTGCCCTGTGTGCCCTGTTCTCCCTCCCTTGTAAACATGTACTGTCCTGTACTGCGTGAATCAGCAGAGGCGTCTGTTCCGTCCCTCCCATTAATGCCATTCCCCTCATTCTCCCATATCTTCGATTCCATTCCCTCCAAATCTCCTCAGTTTCGCACGTACAAGGTGATCTACCGGCGCTATGCAGGCCTCTTCTTCTCCCTCTGCGTTGACCTCACGGACAACGAGCTGGCGTACCTCGAGAGCATCCATCTGTTTGTGGAGATTCTAGATCACTTCTTCAGCAACGTCTGCGAGCTTGACCTGGTCTTTAATTTCCACAAGGTATGGTTTTCTTCAGGTTGGGATTGGAACTTTCTGTCTGTACTCCCAGTCATCTCATTGCTATACTACTGTTTCTGATCAACCGTTCTCCTCGCATTGTGATTTTTGTGGTTTGTCTGCAGGTTTATCTTATCCTTGACGAGTTTGTACTCGCGGGGGAGCTTCAAGAAACAAGCAAAAAGGTGCCAGTGTTGTGTCATGTATTCGTCCTCATGTTGCAAACGCCTGTTTGTTGTTTCCTGATCTCTCTGCATGCTTTCAGTTCCAAATAACCTTGTCCTATTGCATGGTGCAGGTTATTATTGAAAGGATGGCAGAATTGGATAAGGCCGAGTGAGGGTATGAGATATCTTATAATGGATTGGTCCTGCTGACACGAAGACTACACTCACTTGTATCTATCCGACCCGTCTGCATGGCATCACATGACCGCACCTTCATTTTGTTAGATCCAACTTCTCATTTTGAATCCTCCACGCGGAATGATCGATTGTAGCACACAAGTTGTGAATATAGAAGCCGTCGGTCTGCAGATATCCTAATCCAAAACAAAGAGGAGGTGATGTTGTGAAACCTGAAGTTGAGTGGCAGGCCTCGTTTGAACCAGTAGCAGGTTGCAATGGACAGGTCTATGTAACCATCTTGCTTCTTTGATATTAGCGCCTGTGCATGTTTTTGGAAATGGAGATCCACTCATGGCGAGGCTGGGATGATTCAACCCTACAAGGCTTGTTCAGTTTTTGAAAGTGTGTATTTCAAGAATGTCAAATTCTGTAGCTTACTTGTGATGCTCTGAAGAAATATGAATATCGTTTGGTGCAGTTTTCGAAGTTATCATCTTACCCTTCTAACGAAGGTAGCGCTACCTACTGGTCCACCTCGGGATCTCCTCCTCACCCCACCTCACCTACCTTTTTACGAATCGCATCGCATGTGATTGGGCGATAGAGGGGCGTCCACCCCATCTCCTTGCAGGGTTGCGCCTGGATGACACTTTCCGCTAAGCTGCATTGCGCCAGGCCCACTCCCGCGAACCGACTTCAGTTCAGTTCGGACCGCCCATGAAGCAGCTGGGGGCCATGCATCCCCAAGAGAAGCCCTTTCATGCCACGTCATTGGCCGGGCTTCTGCAAAGGTCAGCGCCCCACTCGCTTCGGTCGTGACTCCCGACAGCCTTGAAATTGGGTTTTGAGTCGAGCACGCACTGTTACTGAACTTCTTCGCTCCCAGCGCAACTTCAGCGCTTCTGGCGCACTGTTACTGCTCTGTTTTCGCTCACAACGCAGAGTTAGCTCCTTTCAACGCAGTTTTGATTTCATTGGTCCACACATGGCACATAACTACAAACCGAACCTGTGGATACTGTCACAGAAAACAGTAACTACTTTTATTTGTTTTTAGTGCTAAACATTATATATACTCCTTGAACAAAGGTATCGACCCTAAATGCCTTCCGAATGGTGTTTAGGGTTGATGCTCTATCGAGACAAGCCATCGAAAAAAAAAATACTCGTTGGGAAGGGCATCAATCCTAAACACCTTGTCTCCCGGTGTTTAGGGTTGATGTCTCCCTCGAAAAACATGCCACCCGATAGGGTTTTATGTTTTTGTGCCCGAAATGCTGTCGTTTGACGGTTCTGTGGCCGCCAACCAAAGCAGAGTTATCGGCCCGTCAATTCTACGACCAATGAAAGCAAAACTGCGTTGAAAGGAGCTAATTCTGCGTTGTGAGCGAAAACCGTGCAGTAACAGTGCGCCAGAAGCCTTGTAGCTACGTGGGGAGCAAATATGATCAGTAACAGTGCGTGCTCAACTCAAAACCCCCTTGAAATTGGCTGGACTGGGCGGGGCTGGTTTGGTGAGCTGGCTTGGATGAAGCCGAGGCCCGGGAACTTGTGGACTCTGTAATTTGTTGGAATCGAGGCTCCAATCTCGAGGAGGCAGGTCAGGGAGGGCAGATGGTGAGGGGAACCTAGATTCTGGTCTGGCGGGCTGGCTGGTTGGTGCCACCAACTTGGCGGGGATTCCGCGAGGCCAGAGTTGCGCTGAGCTGAGTAGGTGGTGACGAAGGGGTGGTGGACCGTGGTGGTGAGGTGCGTGAAACAGCGTGACGGGCAGAATAGGTACTACAACTGAGGCTCTGCTCTGCGCTGTTCTGCTGTGCTCCCTGTGGTCATTTAGCTTTTAGTCTTGAGATGAGCAGACAGACATGTCTTCCGTACGTTCGATACGATACCCTCGCCTCGCCTCGCTCTGCGACTTCACTTCACACACACCACAAGTTGGGAGAACCGTGACAAGTCACAGTATTCCCTTCCCAATGAAATGGTTGAGCGTCCTCCACGGTGGCTCTATTGTACTTTCTGATTGTTGAGGCAAGAGGGCTAGAAGATCCGCTTGTCGCTGCCGTACTCTGGTCATTCCTGTTTCGCTCTTTCATCCATTCCTTTCCACCAACACGACATTGAATCCAGACCAGGCTCCCCCTAGATGCAGCTTGTTAGGCGAACCTTAGAAATCGCTTGATCTGTTTAGTTGCTGGTTCGGACAGAAGTTATGAAGCGGCTCTTGTACCACACCACAGATTCGATAGCGTTCACGCCAAGGAAGAAGCAGCACGTGACGAGCATTTTGAGTGGTAACCAGCAGGGACCCAGTGTTAGAGTTCCTGCGGGGACATCGCAGGCTACTGACCCGCTAATAGGCTTTCGCCCGTCTTCGCCTAGAACGGTTCTCTCCGCTGACTCGCTAACCCTGTCGCGCGGTTCCACGTCGGTAACTATAGAGTCCAACACCGAATCCAGCGCTCTCCAGCCGGAGCTGGAGGTGACGAGCCCCGCGTTCGGCGCTGATAAGGGATGTAGCGTCGCGGAGTTCACCGATCTGAGTTTACGCGAGGAGGAAGGTGACTGTAGCGATCCTGCACGTGACTATACCGAACGGCACGCGGTGTTTCCAAAAGGCACGGTGGGTGTCGCGGTATCGAGCACGAAGCGTGCGAACAACGAGCGGGACAGTGAAGGAATGTGGAAGGTAGCCAAGCGACGATGCGTGGCCTTCGATTGTGTCACGCTTCCCCATCTTCCTTCGTTAGGGGAGCCTCGAATTCAGCCAGACGTGCGAAAACCAGATGCCACCACATCTTCACCAGCATTAGAACCGACGAGCCGTAGCACCACGAGCAAGTCTCCCAGCCCAGTTTCGCGCCCTCCAGCAATCCCTCTCACAAACCCGCTACCATGTCCCACAACTAGCGATCTCCCAGTCCTCTCATGTCCCTTAACGCGTTTCAAGCGGCAGCGGCCACCGACTATAGATATCCCGCGTAAGGGCTGCTTCACATCGTCGCCGGCCGGCACGCCGGATTCAGCGGCGGAGGATGCGCTGGACGGCGTGGTGGAGGTGGCGGAGAGCGGCGCGTGCTTCGCGGTGGCGTGCAAGCGCGGGAGGAAGGCGGTGATGGAGGACACGTACCAGGCGCTCATGGGATTTGCAGAGCGCGAGAGCGATGTGAGTGTCAGGGGGATCGGGGTTATTTGCCCTGCATTTGTGGGCCGTGGGCATGCGGGTCATGGACATACGCACCAGGCGCTGCTGGGTTTTGCAGGGCGCGAGAGCTATGAACGTGCAGGGGGGGTAGGGGTTGTCTGTTCCACACGTCATGGATACGCGACTCTCATGGATACGCGACTCTCATGGATATGCGTGTCATGGACATTGCGTGTCATGGCTTGTCCACGATTGCTTATTGCTCTGAACCACACCGTTCTGCGTCCCGCTGCAGGCGTTCTTCGGGGTGTTCGACGGCCACGGCGGCACAGCAGCCGCCAAGTTCGCAGCGGCGGAGCTGGCGAGCCACGTGGCGCGGGCAGCCGCGCGCACAGGCGGGCAGGCGAGTGCGGCGGCGGTGGTGGAGGGGTACCTGGAGACAGACAGGCGCTTCCTTGACCAGGTGCGTGTGACGATGGCGGGGTGCTTTCTGTCTTGCCGGCTGAATGGCTTCCTCCTCCTCCTCCGTAGCGTTGTCTCACCCTGGATCCGTTCCCGTTTCATCTGCAGGCGCTTGCCATTCTTGTTCCGCCCCACCTCACTTCTCTTCTCCCTCTCGTTCCTCCACTGCGCCCCTGCATCGCCCCTCGTACCACTATTCTACAGAACGTCGCCAGTGGCACCAGCTGTCTCACCTGCTGGGCCACGCCTGGGCGGCTTCTTCTGGCGCATGCAGGTGACTGCAAGGCGGTGCTGGTGAAGGGGGGGAGAGCTGTGGCGCTGACAGAAGACCACCGGGCGAGCAGGGAGGACGAGCAGGCCCGCATCACCGCTCTGGTAGGTTCTTTGAATCGAGACATCCCAATCCACCCCCCCCCCCCCCCCCCCCCCCCCCTGTCACTGGATCCAGCAGCGCCATGCTTAGCTTTTCCTGTTGAAGGATCTAGTCTAAGGAGGCGTTGGTTCCCCGCTTGACTTATTCCTCTGCTGCTCCTCTCACCCCTCCGGGGCCTCCCCTCCCACCCATGTCTCCTTTCTCGCAGGGTGGCTTCGTGGACACAGCCACGGGCATGCCCCGCGTGCAGGGCATTTTGGCAGTGACACGGGGAATGGGAGACGCGCACCTCAAGTCGTTTATCACGCCACAGCCGGACGTGGCGCAGGTGCGCGTGGGGGCGGACTGCAGCGCTCTCATCCTGGCCTCAGACGGGCTCTGGGACGTGGTGGCGCCGCAAGACGCTGCTGACGTGGTCACAGCTTGTGTCGTTGCAGCGGTGGAGGCACGGGCAGCAGCAGGGGAAGCACAGGCGGCAGCGGGGGAGGCAGGATCAACAGCATGTGCACTTCTCAGACCGCCTGCCTCTCCGCCGTGCAAACGGGCACGCACGCAGCGCACACAGGGCTGGTCGGCTGAGCCACGGCAGGAGAGGGAGGGGACGAGGGAGAGGGAGAGAGAGTGTAGGAAGGTTTTCAGCAGCCCGCTGGGCACACCTCCCTGCACACCACGCTCGCACGCAACTCCCACCACCCCTCCTTGCACCCCCCATTCCCGCGCCTCCTCCACCCCACCTGGCATGCCCCGCCCACCCATCCTCAACACTGCCACGACCACCACCACTGCCACCGCCACCGCCACCACCACCGGCACAAATACTTCCACCACCACCACCCCACCCACGCCCCGCCGCCTCTTCTCTCCTCACTCCATAGCCCGCCCTCCTTTCACACCTCCATGGCTCGATGCCCCGTCCGAACCGGCTGTGTGTGTGGGGCCACACGCTGTAGCAGCTGAGGGGCCAACTACTGTAGCAGGACTCCCACAAGGAAGTGTAGCGGTTCTGGTAGGCAATGAAGAATCTGAAGGTGATGGGAACAAGAAGGGTGCAGGGAATTTCCCCAATGAGATGGGCAAGGGAGATTGCAGTGGAGGTGGGGTTAGTGAGGAGGGAGGAAGTGAGAGAGTGACAAGAGGGTTGAATGGGGAGGTGCTGCTGAGTGCGTGCCAGGCATTAGTTGGCATGGCAGCAGCACGGGGCAGTAGGGACGATATCACTGTCATGCTTGTGTCGCTTGCTCCGTTTGCTGAGTCAGCGACATCCTAGGTTGCTGACTCGAATCAAAATGTTGCTGATGACGTTCGTTGGCATCAGCTGGAAGTACCAAGTGTATTGTTGTATGTACATGCACTTGTACCTAGTGCAGATGGTCCGTAACATTACTGTATTGCCAATTGGAAGAACATGTAGCTGTGCAACGCAATCTGCCAGTTGACACAAAGGGCACCACTGCACCAGGAAAGTGGCAATTGTCTGGTACTGGTTCTGGTATGCCAAAGCACACACATCTTTCCATAATAGTACACACCAACACTACAATACACGAGTACTACCAACGCAACTAGCCCCTACAAACTTAGCAGCCCTAATCAGACTACCGGTATCAGACCCTAAACCTACTCTATCTGAACGTCTAGAACACTACAATTATAGCGCATCCTACAGCGGTTATACGGTACCATAAGAAAGGCACCAGGAACCTCCAGGGCTTGCAGCCTATGGCTGCTAGATGCATCGAAAGATTAGCGCAGCAGGGTCTCGGAAGCAGTCGCCTGCACTTCCATGCCATGCATGCCGATGCACTGCTGGCATGACATGGCATGGTACGGCATGGTACAGCATGGTAAGGCATAGCATGAGGCAGCGTAACTCTCTTCTATGGGGAACGGAGGGGCTCTCTTTGTACCTCTCACCGCCCTGAGTGAGAATATCAGTGACCTGGTAAGTCTGTTCAAGTGAGTCTGGCAGTTGCGGTGAGCGAGGGGTTGAGAGGAGTGGAGGGGGGCTGAAGGGATCGTAGATCTACGAGTCTGGTTGTGTAACGCTGCAGAGGGTTCCCAGTTTATTCAAAATTGCCTCGTGCAGGAACTGGGGCGCGCCCCATCGAGGCATGGAAGGGAGGAGGAGAGGCTGGATAGAGGCCCGATTCGAAGGGCATGGCGGGTGGAAGGAGGGAGGTGCAACGTCAGCATGCGTCAAGAGCACCACGTCAGCATGCGTTAGGAGCACGTCAGGAGGGCGCCAGGAAGTGTGAGCGAAGCTCCGGCTGACAGGGCAAGCGGGGCAGCAAAGCTAGGAGCCACAGCAGCACCACTGGAAGCAGGAGCTGGAGCAGCAGCAGCAGGAGGAGCAGGTGGTGCCGTGGCGGCGGTGGCAGAGGCGAGCAGTGAAGGTTGTCCGTGAGCCCTGGCCGCCATGGCCTCTCGCTCCACCGCCTTCTTGTGACACCTGCCAGGAGAGGAGGTGAAGGACGAGGGACAGCATGCGAGAAGGGAAAGTAAAAGGTGGTCAGAGAAAGAAGGGCTTCATGAAAGGCGTAGTTGCGACAGGCGTGAAGAGCGGGCACGTGTACTGACGGGGCTTGCCGCACGTGTACTGACAGGATGTGCCACGTGGCCTCACCTGGACTTGCCGTGTGTCCGCAGCGTGCTCCGCTGCAGGTCGACGGCGCCGTCGCGCGTGAACGGCGTGGGCTCGTCGGCGCACCACCGCAGGCACAGCGCGCACCGCATCGCCTGCCGCCCGTCCGCGCGCACGTGCAGCTCCGCCCAGGGGAACGCCGCTGTGGGGGAGAAGGCGGAGGGGGTACAGAGGAGGCGGAGGAGAGGGACGGAGGGGAAGGGCGGAAATAGGAGGAAGGCAGAAAGGGCAGAGAACAAGAAGGGGAGAGGAAGGGCGAGAGAGGGGAAGGCGGAGAATGTTTGGACCTAGTGCCAACGCGGAGTTAGCACAGTGAAATGTGGGATGGTGAGAAGCATTGCACACAGCGTTTTTCCGCAACGCATCACACGAAAAATGTGAGTAAGGTGCCACGTCAGCACCGCCTAATATCCGTGTGCTTGCGCGGTTTCTCTGCCCATTCGCACACAGCGTCTCCTAGCGCGTTCATAATACATTTGACTTACGCCGCCATTTCTCGGGTCGCCAGCAGTGCTTCGGCTTCTTGTTCGGCGACGCGCCGCCCGCCTTCTCGCCGCCGCATGCACGAAACGAATCGCCGTCCAGTGCCGCGAGATCCCTCTTGCCGCATTTCACGGGCTCGCTGTCGAGAAGCTGAAGCGCATCGGACGGCTGAGATCCATCCGCAGCGGCAGGTATCTCGGACGATGCCACAGCCGTCGGGCCGGCGACGGTGCTCGCGCCTGCGAATCTCAACGACAAACCTCGTACCACGGGCCGTTTCTCGCCCACATTCAGCCACGGCGCCATTCTAACCTGCGACGCGGTAGGCAGTGCGAGGCACGGCCGAGTGAGGGAGGGCGCGGAGGTGCGCTGCGGAGGCGCGGGGAAGATGGAGAGGCGCAACGCGCAGTCCGCCTCGCGCGCGGCTTGGCATTCGAACCCCGGCGAGACGGGCGACGAGCGCTGGGATGTCGGCGGGGTGGGGGACGCGTCGACAAGGGGCGGAGCGAGCGAGAGGCGAAGCGAGCAGGGCCCATCCTCTTCATAATGCTCTTCGTTGTCCGCTTTGTGGTCGAGGCTCGAGTTGGCGGAAGACGAAGACGACGGGCAGACCTTGCGGGCGTGCGACACGGACGAGGGACGATCGGCCGTGAAGGGCGACGGACGGTCAGTCGTGAAGGTTGAGGGGCGATCAGCCGTGAGGGGCGATGGGAGATCGCATGCTGCTATCGAAGGAGCAGAGCCGATGTGCCTCGGAGGAGTTATTTGCAGGGATGGCGCTACCAGATGAAACGCGGAGCGCGCGCTGCAGCCTATTCGCACGTGGTGAGGTGAATTGGCGCTATTTTCTGCCACGCTATTCACCGCCCTTCTGTTGGCCGCCCCCGTAAAGCCTGGTCCGCATATACCTACCCTATTGTCTGCCCCACTACCATTCTCTGTCCCGCTAGCGTCTACGGCGGAGGTTGCTGAGCTAGAAGGCGAGTGACGCGGAAATGAAAGGGCCTTACCCGCAGAACTAGATATTAAGTTCATCCCAAAGGCGGGAAGATTATCGTCCGTGTCTTCCATAGCTCCTAAGAACGCTAAATGCTATCTTTCGATCAAGCGGTGAGTGCCGGAAATGAAGTAGTGGTGGATAAATTCAGCTGGTATAACGACGCTGGCTTTGCCGCCAGTTCTCTGGTCAGGCGGCTGATTGAAAAGGCGTCTGAAAATCTAGCTGCAGTGCTTTTGGCGTGGAGGCCCGAGGGTTCCGAACAGAATTGGCATAACCCAAGGGTTCACCTTCCTCTAGCCCTTGCTTTTGGTCGATGAGGCTGATTCGCAGCGCTCGCGAGGCGTCCCGCTTGAGACATGACTAAGTCGCCGCAGACAGGAAGGAGCCAGCAGAGGCGCGTAACGCTCGCGGGTGGTTCAGCTGTGCTGGGATGAACCGTCCGTAGTCGCCGCAGCAGGCACTGGATGGGAGTGAGAGACGGGGGAGTGGCGACGAAAATATCCAAGGGAGGGGAAGAGAGAAGAGGCGCAAAATGTCAAAATGTGGGTCCGAGGCGCGCGTTTGAAATCACTGTGCAACGCACCCTGCTGCTTGCTCCGCACTCGCTGCCCCAACCTAGGGCGATAGCTGAAAATGCGTGGTGCAGGTGATTTTCGCGACAAGAATGAATGGCGAAAACAAAAGATCGTCAAGCCCCAGTACGATGCAGTGCGTGAATTCGTCAGTGGGTAATGACTGTCGCCCCGCGCTGTTCTTGTGAACGAAGCATCGCAGAGGCGTTACACAAGCCTCGACCAAACCCCGATTGCTGCTGATGGAGAAGGGCCATTTCGTTCATGGGGCATCGACTGCACAGCTTCGTGACTTCGCCGAGTCGCCACGAAGCTGGTGGTCCTCCAGAGCGGTTCGATTGAATATGCCACGTGGAGGGCGCAACCAGCAGCCAACGAAGCCCCGCCAGCACGTCAAGGCTCTGACATCTGACTGACACTTCAGGAACATGAGAATGTACGCGATTATTGAAGGCTCGCTAGAAATACCACGCATCTACATTATTACTCTACCTTGTTATGTCCGACTGAATGGTGTAATTCGATCTCCTTCGTATACACATGCAAAAAAAAAAACATAGAAAGTTGGCGGGAAGCCTTCCCTTGAACTTGACACAAACGCGGGGAAACACGACGGCTAGTGTCCTAGTCTTGGCAGTGGCAAATTCGTGAGCAATATCATGTACGGGAGGAGGTCGTCATCCGGGCTGCACATTTAGCACGATAAACGCGTTGCGAGCCATATTTTTACCTCTTCAGATTCGGCAAGTGACAGTGGGAACACCAAACTCGGCTCTTGTTTCCAAATCTCATGCAGATGATCAACTCGTGGTTTCAGGGTGGTCCTAGCTTTAGAGATGAGCCCGTGTCGCTCATGGATAGTTGGCGGGCGTATGAGGCTCAGGGTGGTGGATTAGACATGGAGAGTGGCGAGGGTGCGTCGTCGTCGGGAGCAGGTGGCGGGGGATCTTCAGGGGGTGCAACAGCTAGCGGGATTCCCGGACTTAGCTTCGATGCTTTCACGCCTTATTTTCAAAACGCGTCCGACTCCGTCAATGCAACATGGTCCAGGTGAGACAAGCCGTAGGTTCGAAACTAGATATACGAAACAGTCCTGGTTCTAATGCGTTATCTCAACGATGCCACTCATTCACGGTCGTCAGCACAAGCGGGGCTCACTGGATTTGATCCCTCCCTTTATCCCGTCTCTCTCCCTCTCTCCCTTGTATTACCTCACCCGAAACCACTAGTGTGTCAAAGAACGTGCAAGAATTGCCAGGAAGCATCCAGAAGCAGGCGAACGTGTTGCCGTCGCGGAAAGCTCTGATGTACTTCATGCTGGTGATAGCGACGGGCGTGTTCTTCCTCTTCCTCGCCTTCTCCATGTTCCTCCCGGTCATCGTGCTCGCTCCCCAGAAGTTCGCTGTGTGCTTCACCATTGGCTGCCTGCTCGTGGTGGGCTCCTTCTTTGTGCTCAAAGGACCCATGGTGCAGCTCCAGAGCATGACCTCCGCTGAGGTACGCCGTGCGCTTGTACCAGTGGTTGAAAGACGTTGAGTTGATGCAGCATCTGGAGATGCAGGTTTAAGGAGTTGGAGAGTCCTGTTATGACATCTTTTTCTTTGTCTTCATTGCTCCCCTTGCAGAGGCTCCCATTTTCGTTGTTCCTTGTTGGGAGCATGGTCAGCACAATCTATTGCTCAATGGTTCTTCACTCTTATCTTCTTTCGGTTATGTCGTCTGGAGCACAGGTACGTAGACTGGCATCCCCCTTTTTCAAAATCGTTGATGTGTTTTTTGCGTAACTCCAGTTTGCAGCCTTTATGTGTCCGTGTCATCAAGCTTTTTCTGATATGCCATACAAGTTGATTAGATATGCCACTCAAAAGTGCAGGTCTGCTAGATTCAGTTTCTGTGTATGTTGTTTGGTTGCATTGTGCTACAGGTTCTTGCACTTGTTTATTACGTCGTGTCTTTCTTCCCTGGCGGCACCACTGGCTTGCGCTTTCTCACATCCATGTTCACATCAGCAGCTTCCAGCCTAATGAGATAATATACTCAAGTTGAGAAAGACATAAAGTGCTGTAATGTGTACTGTATTTGGAGCTGTAGATCTGACTTCAATGCATGAACCGGATAACGAAGAAAGGATGAGGGTGTTGCCACGTGGTGGCGCTTTGTGGTGAAAAGTTCTATTGGTGTCTGACACTATGGCCGCGCAAGATCTGCGACGTGCGTTCGCGAAATACAACGAAGCGTGGTTTCCCGTCGCTCGTGCATTTGTACTTTCGCAGTGTCCTATGAGAGCTAGCTGGCGTCAAATAACTGTTGCAACGGTTCAGCACATCATCACTTCACTATCGTGCATTTCTCGCAACTACATTTTAGGACGGCTTTAGGAGGAGATCGTAGGCACCAGCCGTCTAGAAGACTCGTTGATAACTCGTGCAGGTACTTAAGTTATAATCGAGCCGTGATTTGCGACAAATAACTGAACATTTGAGGACAGATTCCTGCAGGTTCCGTGCACAAAGTCATCATGGCAGCCATGGGGTGTCAAGCAATGATGAAGGTGCAATACCCCCGAATGCCACAGAACTGCGAGCAATGCTAGTCCCGTTGGTGTAATATCCTCACATGTTACCCGAATGCCGTGCATTTTCTGACTTCGATTCATCCGTCGTAGACGCAATGCTCGTGTCAAATCAACTCCTATGTTCTCCTCGTTTCCCCGCAATGCCTTACCCCAGTCGTTCCTGGTCAGCACCACTCTCAAGAATGGCGCCGATTCGTTTTACTCACAAGCCACTCTTCGACCAGCGTCACATAGCCGTCGCAGCTCCCCGCGCCTGGCGGTGAGAGCGGCGGCGAAGACGGCGGATAATCCGGCGGCGAAGGCGCTTCAGGCGAAGTCGTTAGGCGAGCTGCGGGCGATGGCGAGGGAGAAAGGGTTGCGCGGAGATACAAAGGCAGAGCTGGTCAAGCTGCTGCTGCAGTGAGTCCATCCATTGATCGCCTCGTGGCTCCAGAGACGAACGCGTGGCAAGCACCAGCTTCTGCAGTATTGTATAACGCTTACAGCCCCTCATCACGCAAGCGAGACATTGCCTGCTGAGTGTGCTCTTGCTCTCACCCGTACCATGACCATTTGTCATGTGACCAGCCCACACGTAACCGCCTGTCATGTAACCATCCCTCGAGTAATTGCCCCTCGTGTAACCACCCATTGTGTGACCCTCCTTCAGGACCCAGCCGTCCTCGTCATCCCCCGTGCACCCGTCCGCGGTGATCCCTCCCCCTGAATCGACGCGCAGACCCACCGCTCCAGCTCCCACAGCCGCCAGCAGCACTGCCAGCGGAAATTCCGGCGGCAAGGGCGGCAAGGCGGAGGCAGCGAAGGCGCTGGAGGCGATGAGCACGGCGCAGCTGCGCGCCATGGCCCGGGAGAAGGGGCTCCGGGGCGACACGCGCGCCGAGCTGATCAATCTCCTCGTGTAAGGCGTACTTATGGACTGTAATAATCCCAGCCCAACCGCCGCACCTGCTGTGAGTCAGGCTGGCGCATCCCCGGTGTAGGTCACAGTGACGCATGCCTCACTGCTGAATCCACTTTATTCGACCTGTCCTCTACCGCTTATTTCTTCCGCATAATCGCTTCGCTGGCCCATCCCCTCCTATCACCTCCCTTCACCTGCCCCTTCCCCTCATCCTCCCCTCCTCAGAGCCGCCCTCCCCCAGTCCGCCAAGCCCACCTCCAATGCGTCCGTCATGCCGCGGCCCCTTCCCCCGTCCGCCTCGCCTGCTGCTGCAGCAGCCGCCGCAGCAGCCTCTGGCGACGGCAACGGTGCGAGCAGCAGCAGCAGGGAGTCGGAAGTGGCGGAGGCGGAGGTGGTTCTGCCACCGTTTGCCTCGGATATACCCCCTGGAGGCATTGCCATCAGCCAAGTGCAGGTGAGGTGAAGACAGGCAGGATGGGAACTGGGGGTACGAGGATAAGGGGGGAAGGGAGTCGGGGAGGGAGACTTGGGAGGAAGCTGGTGCATGGCTGCTTGAATGGCGTTGTATTCAGGTCAGCCGTATCAGCGCTTTCAGCCCTCTCAGCACTCTCATCCTCGCACGTTTGTCTTTCCTTCTCATCCCTTCACCCTGAAGCAGCCCAAGGTAGGCAGTGGGGCGACGGCAAAGGAGGTGAAGGAGGCAGCAGCGGAGCTGAAGCAGGGGCAGTTCGTGCGGTCCGTGCTCATAGGCGGCTTTGGCCTCGCCCTTGTGCCTCTCGTGCTGCCTCTCGCCCCCATGAACAGACTCGTCCCAGGCTCGCCTGCTGAACAGGTACGTCTAGGGAGATTGATTCTCGAAGGGGAGTTGACCGATGTGTTCAGAAATAGTAACACAATGGAAAGCAGGTGATTTAGTTCCGGCACCAGCACATTGCTGCACTGCAGCAGCAGATGCCACAGACTAATCTGCATTCGCCCAGCCCCCCTCACATTGCTACCAATACCTATCTTTGCATCCTGGTTCTCTCCATCCATCCCTCCTGCTCCCACCAGCTGGCAGCGCAGCTAGGGGAGGAGGCGACAGTGCTGCTCAACTCACTGCTGGACACGCAAGCTGTCACAGTCAACCAGCTGCAGGCGCTCATGCCTCTCATCTCGCCAGACCTGGACCCCACCACGCGGGCTGCCAGAGCTGCTTGGTTCTGCCAGCAGGTGCCTCCAGCGGCTCGCTCGGAACAGGCGGAGAAGTTTTGCAAAACTGTTGCTCAGATTGGCATTCGAGCAGCTGCTCAGTGATTCATTGCCTTACTCCCCTGCGGAAAGGGCCCGCTGGAAGATGGTCTGCGTTTGGTCAGTCGATTGGGTGGACATCGGGGCTTTTTCCCGGCAACAATCGTCAGGACTCACATTTTTTTATGATACATTCTTGTCCGGTTTGCGAGGCGATGCTTTCAATCGTCGGCCCACTTCCTATTGCTCGAAAAGATGGTCCTGGATTGGGGCGCATCAGCATTCAGGAGCCATGTTTAAAATCATGCAGCCTTCCTGTGCGGAGGTCGATTTGATGCCAAACACACACTTAAGGCTTGAATATCTCTTTATCTCAGAAGCTACGCATGTGCTTAGCGTCGCTTGGTACTGTGAAGGTTATTAGAACGTTTCTCTCTGACTACCTTCCACCAGCAGTTGGAAGTTGTACTGGTCCTTGTTTTCTGTTACCTATATCATATTATGGGCTGAATGGCAGTCCAATTACCTACAAAGATGACTCTGAACTGAACAGCTCATGACTTCTAGGTACAGTAATTTTTACTCATGATTCGCTGTACGTTTTCTGTGCACCGATCACTTTTATTTGGAGATGGATCAAGCAGGCATTTGGCGTGTGGATGTGCCACCATGGCACATGCTCGGAGTTGGAAAGCTGGTCGCTGGTCATCGTGTGGATGCCGTTTGAAGCGCTGGAGAGAACGAAGGTCACGCACTGCGAATCTGAAGCATCGCCAGAAGCCACATCGCATGGTAAGCACGTGGAGGAAGGTGACTGCGAACCTGTTTCACCAATCCCGTCATCAAGGAAGAGCCACATCATCTGATGTCGCGCCCACAACAAAGAGGCAAAACATGCGGCGTCCTTGCGCCTTACGCGCACGCGGAATCCATGCCATCTCCTCTTGTGCCAATTCACTGTTGCGCGATTGCCGATCACCACCGACTTCGGGAAATGGCGGAAGAACGCAACGCACCAACCGTCGGTGCAGGTCCAACCTGCTTGGGCCGTGTCAGCTCAGCAAGTGTGTGTGCGCTTGCAATTGCACTAGTGCGCTGGCATACAGCAAAGCCTCGCTGAGATTCCCCTCGGGAACGCAAAACCGTTTTTCGCCCCGTACAACGCTGATTTCACCCAACACAACGCCGCGCGACTGCTTTGCTTCGGCGCAACTTTCTGGTTTGGTTGGGAGGCCATACCATCTCATATCCCTCCCTCCCCTAGATTTCCGTCCGCCTACATCAAGCCCCCACACCTCCCTCCAGCCTCGTCTTCCACCCCACCACACAACCCCACCTGCCATTCCCCTCCCCACTCATCCCTCACCTGTAGAGTTCAGAAAGTGGATGATTTCGGTGACAGTCCAATTCGGAAATTGCTTTCACTCAGTAACTTCCGCTCACCTCTACCTCTAGAACAGGACGATAATCAGTCCTCAGTGAACTTCAGTTAGGCGCATCGACTTTAGGTTTTCACACGGTTCGGACTCGAAATATGGAGTGCTCGGATGATTTGCGGCTATCAGTAGGGAGAAATTTAACTCTTGGTCCTTCATGGCAATCTCAACCAGATGGCTCTGACTCAAGGTAGCTCACGTTTCTCGTTCAGAAGACGCATATGTGAAGCATCTTTCAGTCTTCTTTCGGTGATGGCGATATTCTAACCTTCTCTCCCTGGTATCACTCGTTCAAATTGTTTCAGAAGTGGAGGAGCTGGTCACGGCCGTCACATAGAGAATAGTGTGGTCGTCAGAAAGAGGTGAGCTTCGGACTCATCGCACCTTGTGAATGTCAAGTTTTTTTCAGTTGAAATCTACGGTTATTGATCTGGGTGACATTTATTCGGTGAGCAGGCCTCGAGAAGAATCTGCGAAAGACCTGCTCTGCACGAAAGCAACTCGCGAGAAAATGCGACGTGATCGCTTGAACGACAGGTTGGTGTGCGACGCGAGAATCTCTTTCATCTTGTTTTTTTTGGCTTAGCTAGTATGCTGGCCTAATTGCAAAAAGGATTCTGCTAACTGTCTCAATGTATTTTGTGGTGCAGATTTCTTGAGTTGGGGAAGGATCTCGACCCGGATCTGCCTCCCAAGACGGACAAAGCCGTGATTCTGAACGACACAGTGAAGCTCCTGACACGATTGAAAGAAGAGGCGATTGCCCTGACAGAAGGTAACCGGCAACTACGCGACCAGATAAAGGAACTAAAGGTAGTTCCCGTGTTTCTTCCTACTTTACCCCTTGTGTACCTTTTTCTGTGCGTGTTTTCAACGGGGTGCAAGCATTTCCCTTTAAAGGTTGCCTTGTGTACCCCCTCCACACCTTTCCCCCCCGCCTGCCGTGCAGGTGGAGAAGTCGGAGCTCCGCGAGGAGAAGTCACGGCTGAAGGCTGAGAAGGACGCGCTGCAAGGGAAGCTGCACTCGTTGCCCGTCCCTGCCACTGGTTGCTTCACATCCCAGGCAGCAGCAGCAGCGGCATCAGCCGCACTGCAAGCTGCAGCAGTGGCAGCGTTTTCTGGTCAAATCACAGCCAAACCAGCAGACTACAGCCCTGTGTTTTCTGTGCCTCCGCCTCCCATGGACCCAGCTGATCAGAACACGGGCATGTGGCAATGGTTGCCGCCCAATGCTGCTGACATCTCCAGGGATCATATTCTTCGCCCTCCTGTTGCTTGAAAGCATGTGTGCATGGTGCTCCTCCATGCATCGCTTACATTCGTGAGCCACGCCACACGCAGTGGTCTCACACAGTGGCATCTTTGCACAAGCTGAGTGCAATGCAAGTTGCACTTCCAAGTGCAGCTGACCAAGGTCAAAGCAAGCAGCGGGGGGGGCATGAGTCTGCTGGCAGCAAGGAGGGTGGTGCTGTGTGCCAAGCTCTCTTTGCAGTTTTTGCAGTTCTCACCGAGACATGCTATCTGACATACTGCAGGGCAAGCAATATTATCACAAAGCTTGGAAGAGTGGACAGGTACATAGACAGATGCAGGATGCTACAGCTGTACCTGCGGAAGTACTATTGCCGCGTTGCGGCAAAAAATAACACAATATTTGTTGCCACCAATTCATGTGCAGTTCAAAACAACCACTGTAAAGCAAGCATCCTCTTCCTGTACACTCAAAAGCACATTGTACCTCAGCCAAGACAATCCGTCAAAAATCTACAATCAACTTCGGTACTTCAATCCAATCTTCAAGACTACCGTACTAAGCCCATTGTCTCACACTTCACAGGCATTGTCCTCGCACTCTAATGACCCCCACCGCGAAGAAACCCTCTTGCATGGAAACTCCGGCTTCTTGAGACTGGAAGAGGAGCATGGGCAACAGAGAGAACATGTTACGAGTTGTAGGACGAATGGAGGCACCATGCGGCACACCACTGGGATTAGTGAAATGGTATGGCAAGGAGTGTAGCAAGGCTAAGGCCACAACAGGTACCTGCGGTTGACGATGTTGTGCAGGCGGCACATGTACTGCTCCAGTTCCCCCCTTGACCCTGCCTGAGGAGGGTTGGCCCTGGAGTGGAGGAAACAATAAGGATAACAGGAAGCGCAGAAGGGGCTTAGTAAGACAGTTTATACAGGGAAGGAGGTGATTTTACGATGTCGCAATGTGATACATGCGAGTAAGCGCGCGTGGAAATACAACGAAGCCTCACTTGACTATCTTTTGAAAGTGGTAGGAGCAGATTTTGCAGGGGTAGACGCGGGCAAGGAGAGTCACCTGCAAACAGGAGGATGAATGGGAACGGTTGAGAGATGAATGAACACAATGGGGTGATCACAGGTGTCGACGCAACCAACTACATAGAGAAGAATCTAAGCAAATATGTGCCTACTAAGAAGCATGACCACAGGAGAACGGACGCAGAAAGACCAATCCAGAGCAGCCACGACCATGCGGAAGGGAGAGAGCGGAGCAGCATGCGGGAGAATGGGTTGCTGCTGCATGCAGAACTCACAAAGTCCTTGGCGTCCTTCTGTTGCTGCTTGCTTGGCTTCTCCGGAAACTGCAGGACGAGAAAGTGGGAGAGGAGGAACAGGGGAGTTTGTGGAGGTATGAGTTTCTATTGCAAAGGTAAGTCACCATGTGCGACTGAGCTGACAGCAGGGAACCTTTCTGAAAAACACTTCTACGAGACTCCCTCACAGGCGCTCTGCCCCCATCACCCTCGCTTTTCTACACCCCTCTTCACCTCTCCCGCACGCACCTGAGCCGCCAGCGTGTGCAGAAACGTCCACGTGGCGCGCCCCAGCTCCTCCTTGGTCGCTGGGCCCGCCTCCTGCGCTGCCTGGTGGAAGAGGGGAATTGGCGCCAAGTGCCAGTGGGAGTGAGGGGAGGGTGAGCAGCCATGGTCATGCCAGTTCAGACGCTCATGGACCTCGTATTATGCACCATGCATCCGGATTCACCAGAGAATTAAAGTCAAGGTGTGAGCCTGCGTGGATGCAAGACGCAGCAGCACACATGAAACAGCAATGACACCGCTCCCTTGACCCAACAGGGTGGCACCTTCGTGAGGAAGTCCGGAGCAGGGCCCGCCCACTCCTCCGCGCCGTCCGCCCCCATCCTCGCCCCGCCCGCCTGCTGCTGCCTCTGCTGCCCCGCCTGCCGCCGCCCACCCGGGCTGCTCACCACAACTGCACCACCACGAGCACCACCAGCACTAGCGGCAGCAGCAGAAGAAGGGGAAGAGCCGTCGGCGGCGAGGGGAGAGGGCGGAGGGGGCCGCAGGAGGGCCGCGAGGGCGCCGTCATCATCCTCGTCGTAATTGTCATCGTTGCTGTAGTCCAGCTCCTGGTCACAAACGCACAGAGAGCGTTACAGCGGGTTACATTGTAACGCGAATAGAACCGGCACGCGAGAGGAATTGAGGGATGGTGGCGGGAAGGGAAAGGAGAACCGCGCACCTCGAATCTCCGTCCGTCGCGTGCCTTGAGCGCACTCCCAGCCAGCACCGCACCTCCCTCGCGCCTTCCCCTGCCTCTCTCGCTGTCCACGTCAGCCTCCGCTCCACTCACGCGCTGCCTGCCCGCGTACGTCGCTTCCATCGCCCGCGACAGAGATGTGCGAATCGTCGGCAGCTGATTCCGTCGCGCGTCCGTCGCCGACCCGTCACCGTCGTACGCTTTATTAGACACCAGAACTAACCCTTCGTTATTACCATCAGCAGCAGAAACTCTACGCCGTCTGGGTGCCTTAGGCTCTACAACAGCCTCTTTGGGTCTCCCGCCGCTGATAACGGTCTGCAGAGCTCTAAGCGGATCGGGCAGCCGAAATACACCTGCTTGGCCATCAGCAGCCCGACCGCTCCGATCGACTCCCGCGATGGAGGCGAACGGTAGGGGGAGCGGCACGGGGTTGCGACGCGCAGCGTCGAAGCGAGCCACGGCGCCGTGCCAGCCGCGCTCCACTCCCTGGCTGAGCTCCGCCGCGCTCTTTGCGACGAAGCCCTGCAGCTGCGAGAATACCTCGTCGACAGGAGCCATGGCGTGCGGCTCGATGTCACGACTCATAAGCTGCACCAACGAGTAATCGCATGCCCTACGTACCCTAAAAAAGGTGGTGTTGGTAGTGCAGGCAAGCTGGAGGCGTTTTGTGGAGGTATCCTACTTCGATATATGCTGCATTGCTATATGCTGTTCTCTATTTTACTGTAAACAGCGTAAGGAAATTGTGATACAAATTCCAGCTTGATGCAATTTTAGTTTACATGTACCGATTTACAGCGAAATGAAACCGATTTTGTCAGTGTCATGCAACGAATGGGGAATAAGGGACGCTACATGGATGCTCGAAACAGTGATGAAAACTTGGAGTCGGAGTTAAGTAGGAGTTTTTCCGGATCACCATCTTCAACCTGTGACGGCCAAGCACGAATGAAAAGCGTATAGTCAGTCCACAACAGCTGCACCGTTCAGAGGGTGACAAACATGACAAACCAGTGCTTTTACGTACAAGGGCGCCAGCCTCAAAGATGAGGACACGCGGGAGAGAGAGCAGTGAGGAGACTCGGTGCGCAATGGTGATGGTGGTGACCCCATGGAACTCCCGAGCTATAGTGGCATGCATGAGTGCACTCGTGGCAGCATCAATGTTTGCTGTGCACTCATCCAAACAGAGCACCTGCAGAGAAGCAGTAGTCGAATATTGTCAGACAGAAAACGGGCGTTAACAAAGGAGACAAAAAGAGAAGGGCCTTCACATTCACATTTACCTCAACACACATGCCATTTATTTTGCTGTGCACGTTTCTGCCATACCTTGGATTTTCTGAGCATAACTCGAGCCAGGCACAGCAGCTGCCTCTCTCCTAGTGACAGCCCCCCTGCCGCCCCACCCACCATTGCATCTAACCCTCCCAGCCGCCCCACTGCTGCACCCAGGTGGCACTTCCTCACGGCATCCCACAATGCCACGTCAGCGTGCTTTCCCTCGGGATCCAAATTGTCTCTGGCACAGCAATGGTTGTAAACCAATGGAGGGTGTAAAGAAAGAAAGCGTGAAAAAACACGGACTCAGAAGCTGGAAGGAAGCATGCAATGAGGAAGCAGAAAGCGAGAGAGTTCATGTCAAAGTGGAGGCATGGCATGACAGGACAGTGGAAGCACCCGGAAAGCGTACAATCTGCATGACTTGGCCTGGTCGCACCTGATAGGGGCGTGGAAGATGAGGGGCGTCTGGGGAATGATGGCGAGGGCAGTGCGCAGGCAGGAGAGGCTGACATGGGAGGTGTCGACCCCATCAATGAATATGCCACTCGCTGTACTGCTGTAATGCGGGTGTGCAGTGGTGGTGCTGCTGGTGCTGCTGGTGCTGCTAGTGGTGGCTGTGGTGGTGGTGGCAGAGGGCAGAGTGAGGGGTCGCAGGCGGAAGAGGGCGGCCAGCAGGGAGGACTTGCCTGCCCCTGTGCGGCCCGCTATGCCCACCTGCCATGCAGAGAGGTGCAGAGCAGAACGGAGAAAAGAAAGCATATGGTAGGAAACGAAAGGGTTAAAGGACGGCTGCAAGCACTGGTCATGCACTATTAAGCACTTTCAGGATCCCAACAACAGTTGGACCAGGCGCGCAGTTGGACCAGGGGTGCACTTTGACCAGGGGTGCTTGACCTGACGGCAGTTCACCAAGGCGCGCGCGTGGACCAAGGCGCGCGCGTGGACCAAGGCGCGCGCGTGGGCCAAGGCGCGCGCGTGGACCAAGGCGCGCGCGTGGGCCAAGGCGCGCGCGTGGACCAAGGCGCGCGCATGGACCAAGGCGCGCGCGTGGACCAAGGCGCGCGCGTGGACCAAGGCGCGCGCGTGGACCAAGGCGCGCGCGTGGACCAAGGCGCGCGCGTGGACCAAGGCGCGCGCGTGGACCAAGGCGCGCGCGTGGGCCAAGGCGCGCGCGTGGACCAAGGCGCGCGCGTGGACCAAGGCGCGCGCGTGGACCAAGGCGCGCGCGTGGACCAAGGCGCGCGCGTGGGCCAAGGCGCGCGCGTGGACCAAGGCGCGCGCGTGGACCAAGGCGCGCGCGTGGACCAAGGCGCGCGCGTGGACCAAGGCGCGCGCGTGGACCAAGGCGCGCGCGTGGACCAAGGCGCGCGCGTGGACCAAGGCGCGCGCGTGGACCAAGGCGCGCGCGTGGACCAAGGCGCGCGCGTGGACCAAGGCGCGCGCGGTGGACCAAGGCGCGCGCGTGGACCAAGGCGCGCGCGTGGACCAAGGCGCGCGCGTGGACCAAGGCGCGCGCGTGGGACCAAGGCGCGCGCGTGGGCCAAGGCGCGCGCGTGGACCAAGGCGCGCGCGTGGACCAAGGCGCGCGCGTGGACCAAGGCGCGCGCGTGGGCCAAGGCGCGCGCGTGGGCCAAGGCGCGCGCGTGGACCAAGGCGCGCGCGTGGACCAAGGCGCGCGCGTGGACCAAGGCGCGCGCGTGGACCAAGGCGCGCGCGTGGACCAAGGCGCGCGCGTGGACCAAGGCGCGCGCGTGGACCAAGGCGCGCGCGTGGACCAAGGCTCGCAGTTGGACCGGGCGTGCAGTTGGACCAGGGGTGCACTTTGACCAGGAGTGCTTGACCTGACGGCAGCTCACCTGCCATGCAGAGAGGTGCAGAGCAGAACGGAGAAAAGAAAGCATATGGTAGGAAAAGAAAGGGTTAAAGGACGGCTGCAAGCACTGGTCATGCACTTTTAAGCACTTTCAGGATCCCAACAACAGTTGGACCAGGCGCGCAGTTGGACCAGGGGTGCACTTTGACCAGGGGTGCTTGACCTGACGGCAGCTCACCTGAGAGCCACCAGGAATGAGAAAGGAGACGTCTGAGAGCACAAGAGGCAGCCCCACCCGGTACGCCATGCTCACACGCCTGAACTCCACCCGCCCCTCCCTCCCCTCCTCCTGCTAATGCCCCACCTGCGCCTCCTCCTGCATGTGCGTCCTTCCATGCACCCTCCCCATCCCGCCCCTGTGGGGCAGGGAGGGGGCTCATGGGAGGGGCGTGTGGCTCGTGCTGCAAATCCAGGTACTGCGGGGAGGCACGAGAGGAAGCGGCAGAATGGAGGGTGGTGGGGGATGGAAGGGCGATTAGGTTTGGGGGAAATCAACCAGCGTAGGCGGGGGGTCTCATGGGCGAGCGCCCATCCTCACCTCGCCCCCTCACATCCTACCTTCAAATCTTTCCTTCTTCCCCCCCGCCCCTCCGAGCTCCAGCACTCGCTCCTGCAACAACGCGCCCACTCTCACCTCGCTCCCTCTCACCTCGCTCCCTCTCACCTCGCTCCCTCTCACCTCGCCACCTCACAACCTACCCCACCACACTCCCCCCAGTGCCCTCCCCCTCACCTCCATCACTCTCTCCACAGCCACCATGTCCTTCTCCGTGTCGGCAAGGGAGGTGAGGTTCAACAACACGCCCGCACTCCTTTTACCCCCTCACATCTTATCCCCCTATCCTCCTCCCTCTCTCCTCACCTCCAGCACTCTCTCCACAGCCACCATGTCCTTCTCCGTGTCGGCAAGGGAGGTGAGCGTGCCGTTGAGTAGCGACACTATGGGCAGCGCGTATGCCAGTGCTAGACCCAGCTGGGGCATGTGGGGAGGTCCGGTCGGGGATCACACAGGAAAGAAAGAATGAGAGCTGGAATGAGCAGAGACACTATGGGCAGCGCGTATGCCAGCGCCAGACCCAGCTGGGGCATGGGGGGGAGGCGAAAGGGGGGAATGAAAAAGGGAGGAGAGCATCAGAGTTGGGAGCGCGTTTGGCAGTGCCAGACACAGCTGAGACAGGGAGGAAGAGAGAGACAAGGGACGAGAAGAACACCGTTGCACGTTCACAAATGAACTGAGAGGTTTCGAATCTGAATGGGGAGAAGCATGGCAGCAATGTGGTTGGCACGCTTACCAGCCCAGGCGAGACTGCTGCTGTGGTGGCCGTGGCAGCTTCAAAGAGGAGGCGAGGGGCGGAGAGTGAGAGTGAGAGCAGCGAGTGCAGCCAAGAGACGAGCCTGCTTATGACTGGTGACGGGTTGCTGAGTGCCTTCAGCAGGTCATGTGCAGCTGTACTTGATAGTGCACCTGAAAATGCACCTGACCACACGCCTGGGCATGCAGTGAACCAAGCAGGTAGCGAGAACCAGAGGGCCGATGCTCCATCAGTTTGTGAGGAGGAGAGGTGATGGGAGATGGAGGGGAGGGCGGGGAGGGAGAAGGATTGGAGGGGTGGCAGGAGGAGGGAGGAGTTGACGGGGAGAGTGAGGGTGTGGGCAGACGCTGGGTCGGAAAGGAGAGGGAACGAGGAGAACGTGCTGTTGCTGTCAGGTAAGAGCAGGTGAGGTGTGGGCGAGGGCAAGTGAGGAGCAGCAAGGGCCGATGGAAAGGCTTGGTGCGCGGTGCTGATTGGTAGTGAGTGGTTGAGAGGAGAGTGGATTGAAAGCAAGTGGTTCGGCAGTGAGTGGGTGGTCATGATGCCCGTGACACTAACGAATGTCACCACCACTGCTGCCATCAGCTGCACACGCAAGGAGGTGTACCAAAGGAAATAGGAATAGTATGAATCAAAGAAACCCATGCGGGTTGGGTGGAATTCAAGCGATATGTACAGATGAGGGAGCAGGAGGGAAGGCTAGCAGGAGGGAAGGCTAGCAGGAGGGAAGGCTAGCAGGAGGGAAGGCTAGCAGGAGGGAAGGCTAGCAGGAGGGAAGGCTAGCAGGAGGGAAGGCTAGCAGGAGGGAAGGCTAGCAGGAGGGAAGGCTAGCAGGAGGGAAGGCTAGCAGGAGGGAAGGCTAGCAGGAGGGAAGGCTAGCAGGAGGGAAGGCTAGCAGGAGGGAAGGCTAGCAGGAGGGAAGGCTAGCAGGAGGGAAGGCTAGCAGGAGGGAAGGCTAGCAGGAGGGAAGGCTAGCAGGAGGGAAGGCTAGCAGGAGGGAAGGCTAGCAGGAGGGAAGGCTAGCAGGAGGGAAGGCTAGCAGGAGGGAAGGCTAGCAGGAGGGAAGGCTAGCAGGAGGGAAGGCTAGCAGGAGGGAAGGCTAGCAGGAGGGAAGGCTAGCAGGAGGGAAGGCTAGCAGGAGGGAAGGCTAGCAGGAGGGAAGGCTAGCAGGAGGGAAGGCTAGCAGGAGGGAAGGCTAGCAGGAGGGAAGGCTAGCAGGAGGGAAGGCTAGCAGGAGGGAAGGCTAGCAGGAGGGAAGGCTAGCAGGAGGGAAGGCTAGCAGGAGGGAAGGCTAGCAGGAGGGAAGGCTAGCAGGAGGGAAGGCTAGCAGGAGGGAAGGCTAGCAGGAGGGAAGGCTAGCAGGAGGGAAGGCTAGCAGGAGGGAAGGCTAGCAGGAGGGAAGGCTAGCAGGAGGGAAGGCTAGCAGGAGGGAAGGCTAGCAGGAGGGAAGGCTAGCAGGAGGGAAGGCTAGCAGGAGGGAAGGCTAGCAGGAGGGAAGTCTAGCAGGAGGGAAGGCTAGCAGGAGGGAAGGCTAGCAGGAGGGAAGGCTAGCAGGAGGGAAGGCTAGCAGGAGGGAAGGCTAGCAGGAGGGAAGGCTAGCAGGAGGGAAGGCTAGCAGGAGGGAAGGCTAACAGGAGGGAAGGCTAGCAGGAGGGAAGGCTAGCAGGAGGGAAGGCTAGCAGGAGGGAAGGCTAGCAGGAGGGAAGGCTAGCAGGAGGGAAGGCTAACAGGAGGGAAGGCTAACACGACAGGAGAAGGGAAAGGTTGACACAACAGGAGGGTGTGATGGCTCGCGTGTGAGTGAGTGGTGAGCGAGTGAGCGAATGAGAGAGTGAAGGAGAGAGGGGGAGAAGGGGAGAGGCGGAGAGGGGGAGAGGATGACCTGCAGGCGGACAGAGAGCCACTGCGAGGCAGCCATCTCAGAGAAGGACGCGTGCTGACTGGCCGACATGAGCGCCATGGCTCCACGCATCATGTGCTCCTAAGACACAAAGGGGGGGAGCGAACAAGAGGAGGGAACTTTTGAGGGTACAAGAGAAGGGGAACAAGAGGTGGGGAACAAGAAGGGGGAAACAAGAGGGGGGGGAACAAGAAGGGGGGTGCGAGCATGGGATGGGAGTCATCAAGGGGGGTCGACGTTAATCCACGGGGGTCTAAGTTAATCCAGGGGGGTCTAAGTTAATCCGGGGGGGTCTAAATTAATCCGGGGGGTTCTAAGTTAATCCAGGGGGGTCTAAGTTAATCCGGGGGGGTCTAAGTTAATCCAGGAGGGTCTAAGTTAATCCGGGGGGGTCTAAGTTAATCCGGGGGGGTCTAAGTTAATCCAGGGGGGTCTAAGTTAATCCATGGGGGTCTAAGTTAATCCAGGGGGGTCTAAGTTAATCCGGGGGGGTCTAAGTTAATCCGGGGGGGTCTAAGTTAATCCGGGGGGTCTAAGTTAATCCGGGGGGGTCTAAGTTAATTCGGGGGGGTCAAAGTTAATCCGGGGGGGTCTAAGTTAATCCAGGGGGGTCTGTGTTAATCCAGAGGGGTCTAATTTAATCCAGGGGGGTCTAAGTTAATCCAGGGGGGTCTAAGTTAATCCATGGGGGTCTAAGTTAATCCGGGGGGGTCTAAGTTAATCCGGGGGGGTCTAAGTTAATCCAGGGGGGTCTAAGTTAATCCGGGGGGGTCTAAGTTAATCCGGAGGGGTCTAAGTTAATCCAGGGGGGTCTAAGTTAATCCGGGGGGGTCTAAGTTAATCCAGGGGGGTCTAAGTTAATCCGGGGGGGTCTTAGTTAATCCAGGGGGGTCTAAGTTAATACAGGGGGGTCTAAGTTAATCCAGGGGGGTCTAAGTTAATCCGGGGGGGTCTAAGTTAATCCGGGGGGGTCTAAGTTAATCCCGGGGGGGTCTAAGTTAATCCGGGGGGGTCTAAGTTAATCCAGGGGGGTCTAAGTTAATCCGGAGGGGTCTAACTTAATCCAGGGGGGTCTAAGTTAATCTGGGGGGGTCTAAGTTAATCCGGGGGGGTCTAAGTTAATCCGGGGGGGTCTAAGTTAATCCGGGGGGGTCTAAGTTAATCCAGGGGGGTCTAAGTTAATCCGGAGGGGTCTAAGTTAATCCAGGGGGGTCTAAGTTAATCTGGGGGGGTCTAAGTTAATCCGGGGGGGTCTAAGTTAATCCGGGGGGGTATAAGTTAATCCGGGGGGGTCTAAGTTAATCCCGGGGGGTCTAAGTTAATCCAGGAGGGTCTAAGTTAATCCGGGGGGGTCTAAGTTAATCCGGGGGGGTCTAAGTTAATCCAGGGGGGTCAAAGTTAATCCATGGGGGTCTAAGTTAATCCAGGGGGGTCTAAGTTAATCCGGGGGGGTCTAAGTTAATCCAGGGGGGTCTAAGTTAATCCGGGGGGGTCTAAGTTAATCCGGAGGGGTCTAAGTTAATCCAGGGGGGTCTAAGTTAATCCGGGGGGGGGTCTAAGTTAATCCAGGGGGGTCTAAGTTAATCCGGGGGGGTCTTAGTTAATCCAGGGGGGTCTAAGTTAATACAGGGGGGTCTAAGTTAATCCGGGGTGGTCTAAGTTAATCCTAGGGGGTCTAAGTTAATCCGGGGGGGTCTAAGTTAATCTGGGGGGGTCTAAGTTAATCCCGGGGGGTCTAAGTTAATCCGGGGGGGTCTAAGTTAATCCGGGGGGGTCTAAGTTAATCCGGGGGGGTCTAAGTTAATCCAGGGGGGTCTAAGTTAATCCGGAGGGGTCTAAGTTAATCCAGGGGGGTCTAAGTTAATCTGGGGGGGTCTAAGTTAATCCGGGGGGGTCTAAGTTAATCCGGGGGGGTCTAAGTTAATCCAGGGGGGTCTAAATTAATCCAGGGGGGTCTAAGTTTATCCAGGGGGGTCTAAGTTAATCCCGAGGGGTCTAAGTTAATCCGGGGGGGTCTAAGTTAATCCGGGGGGGTCTAAGTTAATCCGGGGGGGTCTAAGTTAATCCGGGGGGGTCTAAGTTAATCCGGGGGGGTCAAAGTTAATCCGGGGGGGTCTAAGTTAATCCAGGGGGGTCTGTGTTAATCCAGAGGGGTCTAAGTTAATCCAGGGGGGTCTAAGTTAATCCAGGGGGGTCTAAGTTAATCCATGGGGGTCTAAGTTAATCCGGGGGGGTCTAAGTTCATCCGGGGGGGTTTAAGTTAATCCAGGGGGGTCTAAGTTAATCCGGGGGGGTCTAAGTTAATCCGGAGGGGTCTAAGTTAATCCAGGGGGGTCTAAGTTAATCCGAGGGGGTCTAAGTTAATCCAGGGGGGTCTAAGTTAATCCGGGGGGGTCTTAGTTAATCCAGGGGGGGTCTAACTTAATCCAGGGGGGTCTAAGTTAATCCAGGGGGGTTTGTGTTAATCCAGGGGGGTCTGTGTTAATCCAGAGGGGTCTAAGTTAATCCAGGGGGGTCTAAGTTAATCCAGGGGGGTCTAAGTTAATCCAGGGGGGTCTAAGTTAATCCGGGGGGGTCTTAGTTAATCCAGGGGGGTCTAAGTTAATCAAGGGGGGTCTAAGTTAATCCGGGGTGGTCTAAGTTAATCCTAGGGGGTCTAAGTTAATCCGGGGGGGTCTAAGTTAATCCAGGGGGGTCTAAGTTAATCCGGGGGGGTCTAAGTTAATCCGGGGGGGTCTAAGTTAATCTAGGGGGGTCTAAGTTAATCCAGGGGGGTCTACGTTAATCCAGGGGGGTCTAAGTTAATTCCGGGGGGTCTAAGTTAATCCATGGGGGTCTAAGTTTATCCGGGGGCGTCTAAGTTAATCCGGGGGGGTCTAAGTTAATCCGAGGGGGTCTAAGTTAATCCGGGGGGGTCAAAGTTAATCCGGGGGGGTCTAAGTTAATCCAGGGGGGTCTAAGTTAATGCGGGGGGGTCTAAGTTAATCCGGGGGGGTCTAAGTTAATCCAGGGGGGTCTAAGTTAATCCATGGGGGTCTAAGTTAATCCGGAGGGGTCTAAGTTAATCCGGGGGGGTCTAAGTTAATCCAGGGGGGTCTAAGTTAATCCGGAGGGGTCTAAGTTATTCCAGGGGGGTCTAAGTTAATCCGGGGGGGTCTAAGTTAATCCAGGGGGGTCTGTGTTAATCCAGAGGGGTCTAAGTTAATCCAGGGGGGTCTAAGTTAATCCGGGGGGGGTCTAAGTTAATCCGGAGGGGTCTAAGTTAATCCAGGGGGGTCTAAGTTAATCCGGGGGGGTCTTAGTTAATCCAGGGGGGTCTAACTTAATCCAGGGGGGTCTAAGTTAATCCAGGGGGGTCTAAGTTAATCCAGGGGGGTCTAAGTTAATCCGGGGGGGTCTAAGTTAATCCGGGGGGGTCTAAGTTAATCCGGGGGGGGTCTAAGTTAATCCAGGGGGGTCTAAGTTAATCCAGGGGGGTCTAAGTTAATCCGGGGGGGTCTAAGTTATTCCGGAGGGGTCTAAGTTAATCAAGGGGGGTCTAAGTTAATCCAGGGGGGTCTAAGTTAATCCAGGGGGGTCTAAGTTAATCCGGGGGGGGTCTAAGTTAATCCAGGGGGGTCTAAGTTAATCAAGGGGGGGTCTAAGTTAATCCAGGCGGGTCAAAGTTAATCCGGGGGGGTCTAAGTTAATCCAGGGAGGTCTAAGTTAATCCGGGGGGTCTAAGTTAATCCGGGGGGGTCTAAGT